CAGCGTGTATGTTCACTAATGATTATTAAATAACTCAATTGTTTAATAATTGTATTTTGACTGTAAAATTCTTTTGAAATTAAGATAAAATCGATAGCATGAAACCCTTCGCTTAGTCGTTTAAAACTCGATTTCACATACATTTGTACAAAAATTCCTGACCAACAAAACTTTATGTATACTATATTTGTCGTTAGGTTAGAAGTGATGCTTTTATTACAAAAAATTCTATGTAGTTATTTTAGGGTGCGAACTAAATATACTTAAATATACTAGATAACTTAAAATTTATAAGTGAGCCCAAAAAAAGGAAATGAAAATATCGTTGAACTTAAGTCGACCACTACGCAGATAAGTATATTCATGCACGTGCGATTTTAAGTATCTAAATCAGATAAAATACTTCAATCGAGATAAAATTTGAAAATTATTTAGAATCATTAATATAAATAATAAGATGAAAGTTTTTAAAACTTTGGTCTTCCTTTTCCATGTCTTACAATTAAACTGTCCCGCATATTTTTTAAATATAAATTTTTTTACCATAACGTATAAATTACTTAATATTAAACTACGTACTATTAATATTAATGATAATATTCAGTAAATGTTTCCAAAAATATTTCATTAATCAATTCGTAAACTTTTATAATAATATTATTATTTAATACTTCAAACAGTTTTCTGTAAATGACTATAAAATTTAACGTATTGCAATTATCATTTTATTAATGTAGTTCGTCGGAAAAATATAAAAATTAAGAGCGCCATGATATTTAAACTCGATGAATTTGTTTTTCCTTCTTCTTTATTTTCCTGTTTTTCAATGACGTAATATTGATATTCAATATATAACATATAAGGCTCCAAAATGAGTGCCGAATTGCAATCATTTTCATAATGAAATGCTTGGATTAATTATCAGTGTTTTTTTTTTCAACTTAAAATTCCTGTCATTGTATATTATTACATTAAAAAGCGATGTATCATCGTGGGTAACTGACTATAGAACATTTTTTTCGTAAAGATTAATTTATACTGATAGTTTTATGGAACAGCGTAATTATTATATTATATATAACATATCCTTGTAATGGCAATATTTTTCCAAAGTATGAAGATTAAATTTACCTAAATTATTTAAAATAATTTTCTCAAATTTTCCAAAAATTTCTATTAATTCATTGATTGATTGATCAGTGGATGAGAACGACAGAGCTTTATAACAATTGAAATTTCAATATTTAAAATTATATTATGAATAAACTAAAATAACTAATAATTTCACAAATAATTGTAATGAAAATAAAATTTTTATAGCGATAAACAAATTTTACACATATCTGGAAGGAATTTTTAATATTCTTATGAATATATTTTATATGAACCTATCAATTTTATTTTTCGATATTCAGTTTTCCCTCGTATAGTTTTTAGTAGTCTCTCGTGGCGTTATCCCACTAAAATAATCACCGGTAAACATTGCTTTTAGTTTATCTTAATTATGAAATTCAATCTAAACCAAAACAATATTTGCTGGCATTTTCCATCACATGTAACCAATAATAAAGCTTAACTTGCACAAATATTGATAACTAGGAGAATTTCCATTCGTCTTATAAATTCTTTTGTTCTACATTAGTTCATTCATTTACTATATCGATAAATACATTTACTGAATATTGATGTACTTGACTTATTAGATTCATACAGAGGTCACAGCAATATGAAGAATTTTAAATAACTGGCTTTACGCAATTTAGAATGTTCAATACGTCGACTTTCACATTGCCCCTACAAATATTTAATAAAGACACGTGCGTTAATAGACTGGTTATTATTAGTATATTCGATTCGATATTGAAAAAAATTGCCAACTTATTTTCATTTTTATAAAAAATATATTTAATTACATCTCAAAATGGTGACTAATCCAGCAGAAATATATAGTATTCGTATTATCGCAATTGAAGATGTTGTCATCATTCGAATTTATAAAACTAATAAATACTTTGAAATATAGTCAACTTTATTAACGTTAACGTTAAAATTAGTTATTGTTTTTTAAATATTAAAAATCACTTACTCTGATCAATTGTATCTAAATTTTTTAAGAATAACTTTTTTACTTTTGCATAAATACAGAAGTTTAATATTATTTATTTAGCATTATATTAACAAATTATTGGGATTAATGATGTTTCTCTCAATGATTGATTAATTAAGCTATTAAGCGATTAATTAAGTGTTAAACATGTTCAATTTTTAGATTAAAAAGAATTATTTACGAAATAACATATATATTATATTTTTATTATATAAAGAAGGGCATCGAAAATAATTAAATAATATACTACATTTATATATAAAATATCAGTATATAAGATTTTGTAGAATTTTAAAGTATCCGATGATCTTCTGAAACTCCTGACTTAATCTATTATACATAAAAGCGTACGTCGTTTCAGCAAATATTTAATAATTTACTTTTTTTTTTACATTTATATGAAAAATTGATTAGTATAAAATATTGTTGTTATTTATGAATTTTTACACAGAAATATCAGATTTATTATGAAACTTTCAAATTACTTCAAGTTAAAATAGATGTACCGTATGAATAAGGAAATAAACGTTTATTTTTATTAGAGTTCCATCTTTTTTTATAAGTCTTTCATTATTTCAACAAAAGATTTTAAGGTAAATTATTGATTTAAATATTTTATATAAATTATACTGTATATATGTATATATTATCCAAGTTTATCTCAAAATTATAATTCATTTATTGATGCAAATGTTGTAAAATGTATCTTATCTCGTTCTTGTATTATACAGTTTTCTAAAATGTTTACAAATGTAATATATTTTCATAGAATGTAAAAGCATTTATCATTTCCTTCAATATTTAACTTATTTTGAAAGTATAATAGCGGCAATATTACTTGTGGTCTAATCTAACATTCGTGTACAAATTTTAATATTTAAAAATGTTCGTGTGTATATCCATCTCTCTCTCTCTCTCTCTCTCTCTCTCTCTCTCTCTCTCTCTCTGTGTGTGCGTGTACATATTCTTAGTGGTTTATAATACTTTCATAATCATTTCGTATATATTTTTCTTGAGTCATTACATACGTAATCATTATTAAACAGATCAATTTTCACGTACACATAAGTGTTTGAGTATTATACTGTAAAATGGATCTACGAAGGCATTAAATATCTTACAGTGTTTACTCATTATAAAATATATAGATCGGTTTCGGTAAAATTTGGTATATGTGCAGTTTCTACAATAGATGAAAGATAAAAATCTTTTTATTTCATATTATCTCCCGAATAAATCATCTGTAAATATTTAAAAACTTAATAATTTTTGTAAAAATAAAATTTCAGTTCGTCGATCCTCTGATTTAATATATAATAATAGAAAGTTATATTTAATCAAATGAAAAATAAAATAGTTAAGCTGTTAGTAAGAAGATAAGAAGTTGGCAAACTATTTAACTAGTTTTCTTTATAGGATGAAAAAGAGCGTTATTTATATGTCTCTTAGGATATTTGATAAAATTAACGCTTTCAATCTTCTTACAACTTAACTTACAATCTGACTTTCATTTATAACTACAAATTATATCTCCTTGCAAGTTGTTACTCTGTTCGTACGAAGAGTATTATTGACGATCAGTGTCACTATAAATTATATCCACAATATCGTGCGATATGCGTACACTCCTTAGCAACTGTACAAATACGCATTTCGCGTGTCTATTTTCTTCGAATGAAATTCCATTTGGAGAATTTTAAGATTCTAACTTACTTTATAAAATATTAATACTGATAAATTTTTATTTAATATAGGCATTTCGATAGCCTAATATCTGGTTTTGCACATTAATTAGTATGTATGAAAGATTTATTTGTTCTTGGCTTAAGATTGCCTTACTTCTCATTTATAATGCATTAAGGTTTTATAAATTTGAATAAGCAAAATATAACATTATTTAAAAAGTCGAGTGATATATTTCAATATTTACTAGTAATGCATAAATAATATTGAATAAATTGTCTATAGAATTTGTTATACACTTCTATTTGCCATTGATCTCAAATAATCCAAACTACGCTGAAATAAATTTATTAAAATTTAATTTCACTTTAAATCGATAAATAGAAGATTTATTTAATTTTTATTTTTCAAAATTTCATTAGCTTAATTTAAACAGGCAAGTAAACAGATTACTTTACGTATGGCGTTATATTTGTATAAAAATTATGTTTCTTTAATATCACGCCATGTTTTTAATATATCAATCAATTTCTTTTAAAATTTTAATTAAAATATAAGTGAATGTACTTGGCATTTGGTGACATTTGAATATCACTGAGAATTACAATTTTTGCTTAAAGATTATTATTATTATCGTTAATTAATTCGTATTTGCAATAAAATAAATTTTGTTCAAGTAAAATTTTTATATAATTTTAGTTCATATCGATTAATAAACAGCATTAATTAAATCATTCCCGCGAATTTTATTTAATCCATTGTGTGACCTAAAGAATTATAATGTTTATCTGTAATAAAATTTAAAGTAACAGTCATTTTAGTCAATTAATTTGCAATTCAAATAATTATTGTTAATAAAAATTTAATAAAAACATTTAATAAACATTTTTAATTATGAGAGTTTATAAACGAATTCTATATTGTATGTAACAGAACGATTAAATAAAAACATGATTGTTTGTAATTATAATATGAATTAACAGTATCTGATATGTGTGAAAAGAGCGATTCTATCAAAAATCTGGTTCATCAAAAGTTTCTTAAATGTAATTTAACTAAGATTCCAATTACTTTTAACCTTTTTTAATAGTAACTGTTAGTTGTTGTTGTTTTTTTTTTTACCTACAAATTCTGTAGAAGATTTATTCCCATATTTAGACCATCGATTGTCGTGATAGTTCAAGTTCCGAACTTGATTTTCATTCCACAGAGTCCTTTGCCGATTGGCTCGAAGAGAAAATCGACTTGCCGATCTTCGAGGAGCTTCCGGCCCCGGAATGCGGACAGAACCGCGCGATCGTATACCCGAGTACGGTCAAGCACCAACATCCGGTGCTCGGCCAACATCACCACCACCACCACCACAACCACCATCAACATCAACAACAGCAACAACGACAGCAACAGTCGCAGCAGCACGTCGATGCTACGCAAACGCTACTACGCGAATTCGAGACGGTCCTCGGTGACGTCGAGGCCTGTCACCAGATAAACTCGACGGGCATCGTCTCGACCTTGACGCCTCCTCAGTCACCACCACCCCTCGCTAAACAAAATCTACTCATCGCGCTACAACCCGTTCACCAGAATCAGGCGACCTTCGTCTACGAGCAGCAGCGCCAGCGGCACCACGAGGTCAGTCACGCGCTTTCCACAGCTTCCCATGGAATTATATCTCACAATATCCATCTCGAAATTCATCTCGTTAATTAGATGCGTTATGTTACTCGGAACTCTGTCCTTATTAATTAGATTTTAAACACAATGATCTACAACGCCATCAAATAGTCGGAGCAAATGTTGGATAAGTAATTTGAAATGTATTAAAACGTCTGCTTTCTCTCAAAACTTTGTTTAACCCACGATAGATCATTATGCAATATATATATATATATATATATATATATAGAAAGGCTTTTAGACTCGAGGTTTATCAAAGTCAACTTAATAAAGTGATTTTTTTATTAACACTAAATCCGCCCAATACACAACATTCTTCACTAATCTATTAGAAAAGAAATTACGTTAACTATAAATCACAATTCAACAAATCGTGTACGGCCAAAGAATATTTAAAAAAAAAAATTATTTCTAACGTTGCATTTTTGCTCCAACAGACAGTCTTTTGCCAGAAATAATAGATACCAAATTTTTATCTCTTTTGTCATCGTATTATTAATTCGCGTTTCTTAAAAAAAAACTATCCCGTATAAATGATATTCAATTGCACATCAACGGAAAATAATTTTTTTATAATTATGTTGAGATATCTAACTTTTTTACGATGTCTTATTTACAATGGAATTCTAATGATAATAACCGAAGTGTAGATAAACCAACAATTTATCGATAATAAAGCCAGACGAATTTCTGTACAGGAACCGTCATCGATCGCCTCCTCGCTCGGCAACCATGAACATCATCATGAGTCGCTTCTGCAGCCGCACCCACACCCGGAGAGCTATATTATTTCGAGTTCCCTCGTGAGCGATTCCGGCAACCAGCAGATCACCGCCCAATGGAACGCGGAGAATCTCTCGCTGGTGCCCCTCGTCCATGGGAACGATGTCGCCCACGAGCTCGCCAAAGTCGACGAATACGTACGCAGCTGTTGCGAGGACGTTCCCGTGACTTCGGGATCCTCGTCCGGCTCCTCCTCATCCTCGCCCCCCTCGCCCTGCACGAGCTCAAACGCGAGCTGCATCTCGTCCGAGGACTCGGCTGACGATCCCGATTGGTCCTTCGAGAGCGGCGGCAGTGGCAGCGGCGGTGGCGACAGCGGTACCTGTACCGGTACCGGCACCGGCACCGGCACCGGCACCGGCAGCGGCAGCAGCAGCATCAGCAATGGACGCAAACATGGACAGGGGCGCGCCGGACGACGAGTCAAGCCGTACGCGAGACCGAGCGTCGAGGACAAGCGCGTGCGCAAGAAGGAGCAGAACAAAAACGCTGCCACGCGCTACCGTCAAAAGAAGAAGCAGGAGATCAAGGAGATACTCGGTGAAGAGCAAGAGCTGGCCACAAGGAATGAGAAACTGCAGAACCAGGTTAAGGATCTGCAGCGCGAGATCGGCTACCTCAAGAGCCTTATGCGCGACCTCTTCAAGGCCAAGGGCCTCATCAAATAGTAATTGGGTATTCTCTTCGGGCGGGGCCGCAGACACGATTTAATTTCAGTAGAGCGATTGTAGTAAATGCTCTGGAAATAACTTCTAGAAAATGAAAACGATATTAGGAGGAAAAAAAAGGGAATATTAGGAACAAAAGGCAAACAGTAAGGATAATCATGATCAAAATTTTTTAAAACAGACTTATCTAGAATTAACAGTACCAATTTTTTCAAACACCTGATTACCAATTATTATAGTCTTTTAAAAAGTTGTAATTCTGATTCGTTATTATTTTTGTGCTCAATTTTATCAATACAATAATACCGAATGTCAGTCATGTAAGAAGACTGTCACCACGAGACTCAAAACTTGTGTATTTAACGACTAGATCAGCTTTCTATTTTACAGTTAGTGACTGATACGTTATAATGTTTTTAATAATTATAGTAACATTAATAATTAACTTTATTATGTATAATGTACGAGTACTTGTATTACTGCAAAATAATGCTTACGCAGTGTCAAAAAAGACTTCCCAAGCGCTTGCCAGATCATCTATTACGTACAGAAGCATAACTTCATTAGCATTAAAACTTCTATCGATAGATATTTTAAATCTCGCAGAATTTACAACTAATCCAACATAATTGGATACATTGACTGTGTATCGTTAATTGTTGAAAATAATATCGTTTAAGGAGCATGAAAATAATCAGAAAAAAATTTGCCATATTTGGTATAATAAAAATCTAACCATTATTACCAAACATTATGATGAAATAAATGCTTCCTAAAAAAGACTCTAAACTTAATAATAATCGATGCGCCAATATATCATCCTCCCCTACTATCTCAATTTCTCTTAAAACTCGAGCTTTTCATGCTGAAAGAGCCCGTATTTTATTATTAGTACTTAAAAACTTGCGTGTACAACGTTAGTGGTCCTTAATTATCGAAATATCTTTGTTCCAACTACATCCGCATCAATCAACGACCCTCTTGAAGTTGAGATAAAAAAAAGTTGGATATCGACCTTAGTTTATCGAAGCTTTGCTCTAAAACCACGAGTGTACCATTATTAATTGGCTGTGAACAAAATTGTTTGAATGAGATTAATATTTCTGTTGAATTTTAAAGAATATTCAGAGTTCCGGACATCCGATGAAAGAGCGAATAATGACCGTTTGCTATTTTATATGTAATCCCCAAGAGGGGGGGGGGGGTTAATACGACAGAAACGACTATTTTTCCCGAAGCGTGTAATGCGGCTCTATTTCTATTAATATAATTAAAAGGAAAGAATTTAATTGCACTGTTGAGAGAAATCAACCTAAACATAAAACCGCTAAATTTATACGTTCACGAGTAAAGTTAAGTCTGCGCTTACGTAAGGAAATGAACGATATTGGATAAAATGTCCAAATTGGTAGTCAGATGTATGTAAATTGTAGTATTCACACACATTACTTCAACGTTAAGTTGCGATGCAAAAATGTATGTGACTTAACCAATAAACGCTCAACGAGAATACCCAATTTCTTCATCATAGATTCGGAAGAACAGATTCTATAGATTCTTTCTTTTCTTTTAATATCCTCTCTCTCTCTCTCTCTCTCTCTCTCTCTCTCCCACCCTGCCTCTATGTACTTTCTTTTAATTAGTAACTCACACACACCAGCGTATACGTTTCGACGTAAATATTTGTATTTCCTGCCTCTTATCCTGTCATGAGGGGGAGAGGAAAGAGGACAAAGGTACTTTCTTTTTTTTTTTATCGCGATATAACTAAAATTTTATGGATATATTTTTAGAACTTTAAATGAAAACAATAAAAAAAACTAATAACGATGAGGTTAAAGCCTAATATTAGCTATTAAAAGTAGTTGTAAAGCGTAATCTTTAAGCTTTCCCCTATTTTGTGTTCGCGCAAATATGTGTATTCTTGAAAATTTGAAAAGCGACTCGTGACTCGTACTCTCTCGAGTCCTGCAGAATAATTATAATTATATAATCGTCGAATTAGCGATTCGTGTTGTCACCTTCCACGTGAACGTTTAATCATTCGGTGTGCAACGTTATACATATATATATATATATATATATATATATATATAATTTTTTTTTTAATTTAGAGTGATTACAGGAAAATTTGCATATTTTTTTGTAATCTTAAGTGACGTGCTTTTATTAAAAAGGAAAAAAAAAATTTTTGTCATGTATCATGGATTTTAAAATTGATGTTAAAGTTAATAACAAAGTTAAAGGGTAAATTGAAAATCGGCAGAGTGAAAATGTTGTTGAATCGATGCGAGCCAACAGCTTCTATTTATATCTGTTATTTAGCCAAAATTGTAATTACATGTATGGCGCTTATTTGGGTCACATTGTGCTTGGTCTTTGTATTAGCCCGAAAGGATTATCGTAAGGTTTAATTCCACACATTTGTTTTAATTAATTATGTACCTTTAACTCTGATCTATATTTTGTAATGCAATCGTTCTTGTTGTATGAAGAAAAAAAAGTACGCATAAAGCTATTGTATCACGATAAAATGATGAGAAAATAAAATGGGATTATCAAAATATCTTTATCTACAAATTTTTTTACCGCCCGTTTATTTAATAAATAAATATATGTAAAGACAGATATTTCGCACTATGATGTCGAGCACGCCTTTTTCTTTTTTTTTTAAGTAAAATACAAGAATGTGATTTTTGTGATGCATATCTCACACACTCGAGATAAAGAAACGCTCGTTTTTCCCCTCTATACATTCACGTCCTTTCACATTTTCATGTTACTATTGCGGACACGATCATTGAAATTCACAGTCGTTCGCGAAGCACTCTACGGCTCTGTAAGTATCTATCTATCTATCTATCTATCTCTATCTATCTATCTCTATCTCTATCTCTCTCTCTCTCTCTCTTCATATGTACACGTATATATGCGCACATAAGCGTTTGTGTTTGTATGCCAATGTGTGCATGTTTAGAGCGCGTATGTACGCATGTATGTATATTATATATATTACGTATATTTTAAAGATAATAGACTACTTTTAGAATAAATTTTTTATTTCTAATAAATCCTACCGTTACTATATATCTTATCTAAAAAATTAATTTGGGAGTAGGTAGTTTTCATTTTATTCGTGTTATTTTGTTTTTAGAAACGATAAATAATTATTAAGATTTGCTTTTATTTCATGCAGTGTGAAGTTTTATTTTATAATTGAATAAGTATTTTTTACCATATAAAATTGATGAATATTAATGACTCGTTGATAACAAAAAAAAAAAAGATCATTTGTTTACTGATTAGTAACGATACTGGCACAAAATTAGCACACAAGCTTTATTAATATTTATAAAGTTTCGAGCGGTAGTATTTGTACTATGGAAAATAATTAATTAAAAGTTAAATTGTTTTGCTTTCTTTGTGATTGTCGCGTTAAAGTATTCGAACGAAATATTCAACGTAAGAATAATTTGCATAGGTGGAAGCGCAAAAAAATCTCAATTAGCCAAATATAAGTAACGATAAACATAATAATTTATAATTATCACATAAGACATTATTCGATTTGAAATTAATATTCATTGCATTAAACAAAAAAAAAAAACAAAAAACAACTGATAAGCTATTTTTATATTCGATTATTCGATCACAAATTCATAATAAGCCATGGTAAAAGCTATTCGTATATACAAATAAAAAATTTCGCAATAAAGCGTAGGCCATGGAAATTAAATGAAAATCTCTAATAACAAAGGTCTGTACAGCACAATGCTCATACATGGTTTTCTTACCCTCGATCAAGTTGTCGCAACGGTAAGACAGTGAGAAAAAGTGAGTTTCGTCCTTGAAATAGATTCTCTTGCATTCACCGATGCGTGCCGTAAGCATTCCGGCAACTAAAGAAAAAACAACGGCAAGAGCAACGAGATCGTACATTAGAACTGCATTTACAATTCTAAAAAATAATTCGATATAGGCGCACATCGGCACATAAAGTAATTCTACATTTATGGGTGTGCGTAATACCAAACGAAGTACTCTCACGATCTATCGCCTTTAATTTTGCATTTCCATCAAATGTCTGTAATTTATTAACAGCTTATTTCCCAATTGACCTATCAGCGGATATTCTTTTACATTTGTTGTTGTGCTAATTAAATCGATAATATGTAAAAGCCAACTAATATTTGTAGGCTGAGTTAAGTGACAGCAAGCAAGACCTTAATTGAGAGGATATAAAATGGGGAATAGCGGTAGTAACGGCAAGAGTTTTTCACCCAAGAGCAGTGGAAAGATTAAGTCTTCGGAATCTAGCAGCAATATGTTTTCTAGCAAATGGAGCGAAGGTGATTCAGGTAAATGCATAAGCAACGTTTTATTAAAATATCGTTTTCCTATTGATTGCCAATATAACGTAATAATTGATAACTAGTTGCTGGAAATGCTTTGAGCATTTTTAAAACTTATTTCCAAGCAGACTGAAAGCGAAATTAGGAATTTGGCTTTGAGAATTCTTTTGTTTCACTTTCGTAAACATAAAGCTGTCAAAAATTAATAAATAACTTTTATATTAAAATACAGGTTATAATTTATCAAGGCGTATTAATTTTCGTGCAATTACCTTATATCTTAAATGAAAAGTAGTTAATTGACACACACCTACACACGCACGCTTGCACACACACACACACACACACACACACACACACAAACAAACAAACGCACATATATATTACATTTCATTATATATGCCATATACAGTTGTTTTATTAAGTGAACCATTATTTTTTAATATGATTAATATGACTTGGTTCATGACACTGCATATATATTCATAATTTTTGTAATTTATTGTTTTTTTTTCACTTTATTTTATTTTCACACTATTCAATCTAAACTAAAATATCAGACATGAAAAAGAATAATCAATCAGCTTGTGCAAAACAAGTCAATGAAAAATTATTAAATATTAATATGCTAAGTTGTTACTGCCCTAGTAAGTCAATGCCATTTTTATGAAAATCATACAAATTTTAATTCGCTCGTTTCCTATAATTCAAGGTAAATTAGAAAGTACCAACTACATTGAAGATATGGTGTGTAAAGAATCAGACATTCAAGAAAATGAAATGAAACAGCTACCTCTGGGCAGTGATGGAGACAAAATTTTACTTATAAAGCAACAAGGAAAATTGTATGCCATTGGTAATAAATGTACGCATTATGGAGCTCCTTTGGTAACTGGAGCATTAGGAGATGGAAGAGTCAGATGTCCTTGGCACGGTGCTTGCTTCAATATTGAAACTGGAGATATCGAAGATTATCCTGGGCTAGATTCTATACCACGTTATAAAGTATTACTACAATCATTAATTTTTTAAGCTTTACATTTATTTATATTTATATGAAAATTTGCAAATGTCGAAACTATAAGAGAAGAAACACCAATTACATATTACATTTATATTTTTATAAAAGTCTATAACTAATAGAAAAATACTTAATAATTAATGTAATTGTTACCATCGTTATATTTGGTAAAGATAATTCAATCTAAGAATGCATTTTGAAATTGCATTTCAAGCTATAAAATCTTATATAGATGTGTATTTATGGATATACTGTGCTTTCCAATTCAAGGTATCTACAATTGAAGGTCAAGTTAAAGTTAGAGCAAAAAAATCTGATCTTGCAGCTAATCGAAGAGAAAAACTTACTTATGAACTAAAAGAAGGAAATCCAGATGTTGCTGTTATTATCGGAGGTGGACCGGCAGGTGCTACCTGTGCCGAAAGTCTTAGGCAAGAAGGGTTTGAGGGACGAATAGTAATGGTTTGCAAAGAGAAAGTGTTACCTTACGATAGGGTCAAAGTATCAAAAGTTATAGATTTAGATATAAACAAAATTCTATTAAGATCTCAATGTTTCTATGATAAACATAATATTGAAACAAAATTAGGAGTCGAAGCCCTCAGCTTGGATACTAAGAATCAAAAGGTTACACTTAGTAATTGTGAAAAGCTAAGCTACACTTCATTATTTATAGCTACTGGAAGCAAGCCTAGAAAACCAGATTTTCAAGGAGTAAATTTGAGAAACATTTTCACTATAAGAAATTACACAGATGCTCAAGCCTTGCACCGGGTACTATCGAGTCAATGCAAAAAACATGTTGTAATTCTTGGAGCAAACTTCATTGGTATGGAAATAGCATCCTACTGTGCCGATAAAACTGCTTCGGTAACTATTATTGGAAAATATTGTGTACCTCTTACACACGTATTTGGAGATGAAATAGGAAAATCCATAAAGAAAGTATTTGAAGAAAAGGGTAAATTGTAAAAATACGTTTAAAATTTAATTATCTTGTCCTTATACTAATATGAATGACATGATTTTTTAGGTGTTACATTTATAACACAGAATAGTATTTGTAAATGTATACCAAAAGTAAATAACGATGAAATCGTAGGTCAAGTTGAACTGCAGGATGGAAGAATTTTACAAGCCGACATAGTTATATTAGGAATCGGTTCGACCTTTTATACAAATTGGTTAACAGACTCGAATATAACACTTTTACAAGATGGTAGTATAGAAGTGGATAAGGTATAAGAAAGTTTCTTAATAGTACTTTTCTTATCGATCCAAAATAGAGTTAAATAAAAATTATTTTTTCCTTGTTTTTTAGTATTTGACAACCAATGTACCAAATGTCTTTGCTGGAGGAGATATTGCTTTTGCGCCTGTTTATTCTGCTAACAAATCAGCAACTATCGGACATTTTGCCTTAGCTCAATATCATGGGAAAATAGCAGCTAGAAATATGTGTAAAAAGGAAACTCCTTTGAGAGCGATACCATTCTTTTGGACTACCTTATTTGGTAAAAGCTATCGTTATTCCGGTGAGAGTTATTTTATTAAAGTGCGAAGTTATCTCTTTATTTAAATCATAAGTGTAGTATAACCATATTAAAGCTTACATTTCATTCTCTTGTTGTAATGAAAGATATCTATTTACTAATGTTAGAGAAAATTGTTCATATTTATTTTTCACATTTAATATAGGATATGGAAAATCTACATCTATCAAAGTACATGGTTCATTAAGTGAATCAAAATTTTTTGCCTACCACTTTAAAGATGGTAAAGTTATAGCGATGAGCAGTTTGGGCAGGGATCCCATTGTTTCAGATTTTGCAAATTACATTTACGAAGGTAAATGCTTGTCGGAAAAATCTGTGACGAATAATCCAACTAAGTGGATGCGCAACTTACCCGCTGATCTTAAACCACCAACTCCAGAATGCGAGTCGTAAGACTTTTCATCTACACATCAAATTTAAAATAAATAATAAATGTATGATAGATGCTTGTTAATTACAACTATATAAAATGTACAAATTACTTATGCATACTGTTAAAATAAGCTAAAATATTTTATAAAACTGAATACTTCTAAAATTTTAGGATCTTAAGGCTTGATAAACGAAACTACCACACACATACTATCCAAAGACTCTCACCAGAAAAATCTGTCATTAAAAATTTTATAAATAATTATTATTCAACGTTTAAACGCAATTTATTTAAATTTTTATGGTAAAATCTTGCAAATTGTAGTGTTATTAAAAATGGTATATTAAGCATAAAAATAATTTTGAATTACTATTTATTTTGACTATTTAATGTAATGTACTTACACTCTTATTATAAAAATTGTTGTTATTGTTTGTATTAAACATTTGTATTACTTTCTTAAATAAAACAAAGAAATTAAATATATTGCCACAAATAAGGCCTCGAAAGTCATATGATAAGAATCCAAATGTTTTGACACTTGTACTTGATATATAATAATATTCTTAAGCAACTATTTGTAATAATCTATTCCCATGCGTCTTTAACTTTTAAATTAATCAATCTCTCGGCCAGTGTTACATGGTTTGAAAATCTTTCATCTCTTGGTTTACGAACTTTTTCCCAAAATGATTTGTTTCGATCCTCTCTGGACATGTGATTAAAAGATTGTTCAATCGTCAAGTATGGATGTCGTAAATATAACATATTTTTCTCTGTTCTTTCATATTCCGCTTTCAATTGACGTAATTCACTCGTTTTAATTTCTCGTACAACACGATATTTTCTGCAAAAACCATAAAATACAATTTATTAAACATTCGTTCGAAGAATACATATCTCATTGATAAATTTTCTATTTAAATGGCCAATGAAATGTGTAGGTTCTGTAGGTTATATTGTTAAAAAAATAAAAAAAAATAAAAAAAAAAAATTGCTGATCTACGAGCATGATTTTCTTTTATCGAGTTCATTTACCCTCTATATTTAATGCCGTGCGGTTTCTTCCCAAAATACAGAAGTGCTGATAATCTCATTGTATATACTTTATTAATTTACTCCAAATAGAAATTATGATCTGAAACAATCGTATGCACGTCCGCGTTAAACTGACAAGGAAAGAGCATAAACAAGCTACGCAACATAAGATTTGAGTTTATTGGCTCATAATAACACGTGCTTAGTCTGAAAATCAAGCTCTAAATAAACATATTATGGACATTTATTGCAATAAGTACATATGGTACTTGAAGAATTAATAATATATTAATATAATAGCGGTATGTTGTTTCAACTTTTTAGAATAGAAAAATTCTAAATGCCAATGTACGAAGCTAGTAAATATACACACATACGCACATATATATATATATATATATATATATATATATATATATATATATATGCTGATAAAATTAATATTTCTGTTTATTGAGAAATGTATGAAACATATAATTTTAGAATATCGATTTAAGATTATATTTTGATCACGTTTATCTCAAATGTCATTTGTTCTTCGTACACTCAATACACGCTTACTAATTTACACACTTTATTTATTTATCGTTATTGTTGCTGTTATTGTTTTTTAAAACATCCTGCTTGGCATAAAATCAAAATCGCAGATATTGAATACTTATAAAGAAAAATATATAAGAATTATTAATATATGATGAAAAAAGTAAGTCATCTTCGGTGTTAAAAAATAAATTTCTTTCGTTACTTTTGGACTCAATTAAACGAATGAAATCAAATTAAACATACACAAAATAAAATAGACACGGAATACCGGAAAGATTATCATCATCATGAATATTTATAGCAAAAATTCCAACGGACGTTAATATTATGAATGACATCAATTACAATTTCAAACCATTTTGTCTCTTTTAATTTCTATTTCGTTAAAAAATGTCTATATATCGTTATATACAATGATACATTGATAATTACATGTTCTCATATTAATATTAATCTTCAATTTTCTTAGCTCGTATACGTGTATGCGACAAGATACGAACGATTGAAAAATCAATTTCTATTCTAAAAAAAAAAAAAAAAAAAAAAAAAAAAAAAAAAAAAACTTAAAACTATTAGTTATTTTTTACACTTTAAGTGGCAACTATTTTTTTTAAAAATTTTAAAGCTACATGATGTTTCGATAATAATTTTAAAAGGCTTTTTCAAACTATTTTTTTATATAATACTATATATAATATTTATAAAATTTGTATATAATCTTCAAATTGCTCTACTCAACTAATTAAAAACAACAAATTTCAATGCACAACTACGTGATATGCGACTGTGTGAACTATGTGAACAAGATGATAAAGTATCCTAACAATATCAAGTATATAAGAAAGCAGATTTAGTTGCAGTTTTTAGAATTGATCAAAATGAATGAATACACTGATATTAGAAAAACGACGAAGTCTGTGAAATTAAAAATATCTTAAATAATAAAGATAAATTACGTATTTCTTTATTATTAATAGATTTAAAATACAGATATAGAAAAGTAGATAAAACGGCAAGAAATAGTGAGAGTATAAGCGTCCATAAGAATAATACAAATTCACATTTCTTCAAAGACACCTGTGACGTCTGTGATGAGCATTAAAGCTTGATACAAATGGTTAAAATTATTTTTCAAATATCAAATAAAATAAATATGTCGACTACCTATAATATTATCAGCATAAATTGAAAATGATGAAAATCGCTTTAATATAAATTATATACAAATTATATAAAAATTTTGTAATACGATACTTACCATTATGGCAAGCATTGCTCCAAATATTTGAGTAATAAGTTTATATAAAACAAAAATTATAAATAAAAATGCAAGTTATTATTAAAAAAAAAAAAAAAAAGTATACAAAGTTTTATACTGATTAACAAGTTAAGTCTTAATCAAGTTGCTATTCTTCGTCATTTTCAAATACTAATAAATATTAAATCAGTGTCATTTCATCTTATTATCTTTAAATAGATCAATAATAGATTTATAATATTATTAATAATCTACCAAATTAATGAAAACATCGAATGTCATCGAATTACAATTAATTCAAATAACAGGAAATTTTAAGAAGAATATATTTTCTAAAAAAAGGTAAGATTAATTTACATGATTGCGTACGTGTGATTACTAAACATATTGGAAAATGTAAAAATTTTCTTAAGAAAATCAAATTTTGTAAATGACACGTAGAACTGCAAGTTTATACTGTTTTTTATATTTTCATCATTAAACAAATAGATGGATGGAATCCACAAATTTGGCAAAAAATTATTGAACTTAATTGAAAATTATTGATATCAAATTAATTATTTAACAATGAATATAATGATGTAATTATTTATTAGATGAGACAATTAATAAAGATAAAGAGTCTTTCTACATAATTTGGTACATAAAAGTCTTAATGATAAAAAATAAAAGGCAACGAATTGCACAGCTTCCTTCATTTTATCTCTTCTATCGATTTTTGTTTTTTTTTTTTTATTTTTACATTAAATTAGAATACGATAAGAATTAACTGAAATGTATACTTTTTTTTTTTTCATAATTTGACATTTTTATGATTATAGATTCATGCCCCTGAATTATACGAGAGGGTATTATTACATTTCTTCGCTGTTTCGAATAACAAAAAAAATAAGAATTACTCCTAATCGCATAAATAAATTATTATTAGGCTCATTTTTAATATACAATATTGAAATACAATTGAACGATTATTTTGTAAATGTAAATGTTCCTCGACGACTGGCTTCATTCGGCGGCATGTGTAATTTTATATAAACAAAAATTTATCTTTTTAATATTTATTTTAGCATACACTGTATACTAATTTATGCTTAATAGAAATTATTATGTACTAAAATGTAAAAGTATATTTACATTCGTTACAATAATAGTTCATGTAATTATATTAACAATAACATTAACGTCATATGGCATTTTACACATACTATTATCGAACTTAAAGAAATTTTAAAAAATCTTGAATACACTTGTGGGAGAACCAGTTTCCAATACAATTTAACAGGCTTTCGGCTCAAATATATTTCGCGCCCAAAGTTTACCACCAGCAACATCTGGAAAACATCCGGCAGGTTCGTAGCAGTCGAATCGATTCACCTTTTAAACATCGCATCGGCGATCATCGTCCGCAACAGTTTTCCATTCTTATCAGTGTCATTTGTTTTACAAATAATCTATCATCCATTTACAGTTGATTATTTTCACAGTTTTTTGGTCGGTTTTTGTAAGAATTTGTCAATTTGACAAAAGAGACGTATTTCTAGTTAGAATGAGTTGTGGCTGATTACCGTAGGTGCGATCTCATTTTCCATCCGATGTAATGCAACGTAAACAGTTTAGTATTCTAAATACGTTGTTGTTGTCATCGATAACGGTGCAATGAATATGAAGCTGTGGATTTTTACGATTAATGCATTTTTAAAATTAATTTAAAAGCGAGTTCAGATAAACATTATGAATTACGTTCATCGTAAGTATCGACAGTTTAACTTTCTACTTAATTTTAAAGATTCTTATTATTTAAAAGATAATGTTCGAATTTTATTAATTAATTGTAATTTCTTTTTAAATAACCACTTCACCAATAACGTTTGAAAAATGAATAGAAACGCCAACGGAAGAATGCCCATTGACGAAAGAGAGACAAGGTTGTTCCCTCAGCGATTGTTGTGGCTTTCGATCTATAATATGTTCATTTATCAGTCTCACGGGCCTTATTACCACCACTTTAATTCTTCAATTAGTTTATGATAATAATGCTTTCCAGGTAATTTTCAAATTGCCTCTATACTACGTTGTCTACTATTACGATAGCTGAAAATGACTGCTGGAGTGTAAAATGTTTGTGATTATTTTAGGGAAGATTGAATATTCATGGCGCTGTCGCCACCGACTATATAAATTGCTCTCAAATTGGAACAAAGATACTTATAAAAGGAGGAAATGCTGTGGATGCCGCCATAGCGTCAATGCTTTGTATGACGGTAGTTGCTCCTCACAAAGCAAGTCTTGGCAGGTTTATATCATATTGTTCGTTTATCTCTTTTTTAACGATAGACTTAAGTGGTTAAGAAGTTAAGAAGTTTTGAATTTAAAATCAAACAATGAATTTACAATACACGATTAAGATCGAGCCTTTTAATTGATTGTATTCTTCTAGCGGAGGATACATTATAATTTATAATCATGGGTACAAGGAGAAGCCAAAAGTAATAGATTTTCTAAATAACACGACATCAGGTTTGCTTTCTCGTCTATTAATACGCTTAATATTATGTCCAAATAATTAATTAAAGGGACATGGTATTTTAGCTGAATTTGATGAACTTCACGTGAGGATACCCGCTATGCTTCGAGGTTTAGAATACACGCATACTATGTATGGTAAATTACAATGGCAAGATGTAGTGGAACCGTCTATTATCTTAGCTCGCGAAGGATTCGAGGTGTCTAGAGATTTTGCTTACGAAACAACGAGAAACGTTAACCTAGGGCTTTTTAGACATATTAATGCCGGAGAAATCTTAGCACTGCCTAAGCTCGCTAATACTTTAGAACTGGTATCTAAATTTGGAACTAACGGTGCATACCCAGTCTTCCTTTTGAGCAAAATCTACAATAATTATACTAAAAGTGAATTGTTTTATTTTCAGTTTTTTATAATGGATCGATAAGCAACGAAATATTTCTGAATAAAACAAACGAAAGATTGTTGAACGACTTGTCAAGCTACGAGCCTAAAGTTATTACAGTACAAAAATCCTCACTTTCTCAATATGCTATATATTATCCATCCAACTTCAATTTTCTGCGATCAATTATCGAGGAAATGAATATGTTAAATATTTCTAAAGAAAACGCATCCTCGATAGATTCGGAAATTATAGTTGCCGAGTCTATAATAAAGCTTGCATTAAGATTAAAAAATCCTTATGTCAATTATAGTAAGTAGAATATCCATTGTTTCAGTGCACAGTTATTCAAATATAAAAGAAGGAATTTCTTTTTAAACTCTAGCTCAAAGCAGAAAGTTTACAGGTGTATCATCGATAGACTGGCAAGACACGTACGTTTCCATAATAACGTTAGTAATTCACAAGTTACATTAATGGTTAAACAAATTGGCTTTTATAATGCTTGGCTTTTATAATACAGAGATGATGTTTGTCTTGCAGTGGATTGAGCTCGCCATTAAATCTGGCATACAACACCGGGGCAGGATTTGTATTCGATAATATCGATAATATCGATAATACAAATTCTCTCCTATCGTTGATTCCAATTATTTTCTTTGACGAAGCCACCGTATGCGGATTACGTGGAGTTTTTAGTACCGACGATTCGATAATTGCCGGACAAATCCTATACAATTTGCTCTTACGTTCGATGAATGTCTCTACAGCGGTGGAATATCCAAGGTATCATTGATTACATTTAATGACAGACAAATATTTTAACGAAACTTCAATTAACGTGATAAAATGGCATATCTAAAGATTGCTCGATTATTATTGTTATTGGCACCATGCCGTCACGTATTAGTTTTTTATTTTTTTTTGTTTTTAACATTAATAGTAATTTTTGTAAATAGATATTACGTACTATCTGATGGAATAGCTATAGAAAATGACGACAGACATTCCGGGAATAGACTACTGCACGATAGCTTAATGGCTATAGCTTCCATGTCTAAAGTAGATCCCAATATGATAACCAAGAGTGTAAATGTTATAATAAAAAGAAAAAATTTAATCAACGGCCATTCCGATAGTAGAGGAGATGGTTTAGCATCTAGATTTTGATAGCAATGTGATAAGTAATATTGATATTTGTTGAATTTTTGATAAAAGCAATTAACACTTCTATCGCATTATTTATTAATATATTTATTAATTTCTTTATTTATTTTCACTATATAATTTTCGTAAATTATATTTTTATACAATGAAAATCCATAATAAATATTTTATAAAAACATTTTCAGTCGTTTATTTGCATGTGAATTTGTATTCTTAATTGCCGGAATTAATATAAAATCATATTTTATACGATTTTATAAGATTCTGCTCTAAATAATTGATATTTATCATAATGTCGCTAAGTTTTGGCAAGCACTCGTGTCTCAATCGTGTCGTATTGCTTCGAGAAAATATTCAATATGAATATCTTACATATTGAGTTGCTTTATCCTTGCATACGCTGCACTAGCCGACAAAATAATAGCGTTGCTCAGCCACCATAAAACTGGTTTATCCTCGTCGTACCAGTGAGTCGCTAGAACAGTTTGCACACACGCCTTCGCAGTACCGCTAACATTGTGCGTAAGTGGTGACGTGACCTTAATCTGTAGCATAGTAACGTAACCAATTGCAAAGCCACACATTCCACTGATAACCATAGCTGCCCAAAAGTCCAGATCGCATATTTTATCATAATTATATACAACTTGAAATTCTCCATTTAACAATAGCAATGGAATAAATAGAATAATACTATAAACATTATTGTAATATGAAAGCAGCCAAATTTCCTCGTTGACTGTAGGAAGTACTTTCTTCGTTTGAATGGAATACAACGAAAGTGTTAAGGATCCAAGAACTCCAAAAAAAGTTCCCAATATCGATAACGAACCAATTAAATTCTCTTGGTCGATGCCCAACCAAAATCCAAAAATAATGAGGGCACAGCATATTATGATTCTCAGCGACGTTTTTTCCCCTATTCAACATAATTGATTAGTTTGTTAATCGATATGCTTAGATAAGTACAATCTGTATTAGTAAACAGAGTAAGCACAATTAAATATTTATAAATACAGAAGATTCAAATTAATATTTATGATCGTTTTCTCATAAATAGGATAAATACAATTTCATTGCGTTGTACAATTAAAAAAATAACTTTATCCTGTGGTGAATTATGAATCAACAAAATTATTATGTCATTAGAAATTTGTTCTAAATTTACCTAAAATTGCGTACGTAAAAATGACATTAAACACAGTGGTAAGAGATCGTCCGATATAATAAAATGCAACGCCAACGTATTTTAAGCACAAGTTATTACTCGCTATCATTCCTGTAAACAATATTGACAATGGTAAAATCTGGAAAGAGTAATATAATTGTCCATCAGTAGTAGTATGTGACTATTTGTTAAAGTATCGGTAAAAACATTGCGTTTACATACCGTTTTAACAATTTTATAGGAGAAGGGATTCCCTTCTGGAAAATAAAAATATCTTGGACAGACATTAGAGAGTCCTTTCAATAATCTACAGATTCCCACGCATGTTATGCATTGAAACCAGGTAATAAATAATGGGGCGTTGAGATGAATTTTATCACTGGATAGTAAAATCTTATTTAGAAATACCATTAATATGGAAACTATCCTAAGGATTAAAAGAAAATTATTTAAAAACAAAAGAATATTCACAATCCTGTTACTTAATAATACGTTACTTACCAATAAAGTGATACGACAAATATTATGTATAGATATTGGTGATAGACGTCCGCTTTTGCATTCATTTTGTAAAAAATTGCGATTAAATAAACGATTATTTCCGTAAAGATGAATTGCCATTAAAAGGCGTATTAATTGTTATTGTTAATGTAATCTTTGAAATCAACAAATTTTTAGGTTATGCACAGTTATCTAAACGCCTTGTTAAGTTACCAAGTTCAGCAAAAATTATTGAACAAAATAATAATTTATTATATTATTGTATAATGTAATAATTGTGGACGGTCGAAAACAACGATGGCCGAAGACATTTCGGCAACGTATTTTCAAATTAATTTTCTTTTACTTTCGTCTATCTTATCTGTTCTTAAATGACGGTTGTAACGTGTGGATTCGAGAGTAAATTCGAAATCGGCCAGAATGGTAAATAATAATTTTTTTTAGCGAAAACAAATTATAAAGAAATAATTTGTAAATGCACGTGTGGCTTTCTTAATTTTTCTCGAATTCGACGTTGAACTAATTTTTCGTTTCACCGTTACAAAATTATATTGACGAATGATGAAACCATTCGCATTATAAAGTTCTTATCAGAAAAGAAAAATATGTTTGACATTTTGACAATAGCGTTCAAGGCCGCGGCCCTCTATTACTTACAATTATTACATTTATCTTGCAAGATAAGAGAATCGTTTCATATTACTTTAACGCAATGTTTGAAAATGTAATGACTGCAGTGCGTAAGTATAACTCAATCATTTGAATTTTGTTATATAAATTTAACGATCAAAATGCGTCTTATTGTAAAATTAATCAAAATTAATTCCTACTCGATATTACAATAAATTTTTGAAGCAGTTGGCCTTAGAGGCGGGGAAGTTTCGCATTAATTCGTAAAATAATTCGTAAAATTAAAATTTGTTAATACGATTAGACAGGATAAATCCTAAAATCATCGTAAGTGCTAATATTATTTCACTTTCGATGGGTTAATTCGGTTAAAGTCGGTGTAGACATTTTAATACGCAAGCTCAACGTCACTTAGAGAATTAAAAAAAAAAAAAATACGGTGCAAAGGGACTACGATAAGAATTCCACAATCATTTTTATGATTTTCGACACGTTAGTTACAAAAATATTTCAGCGTCGACAATTCAACTCGCGAGAAATTGACATCGACCGTCATAAAGAGTTAGGCGAAAACTTGTGCATATAGTGGAATGAAAATTACAAGCTTTTCTTCTTCTTCTCCTACATTGTTCCGAGTTTTGACCGACTAGCTAATATGTTTATTATTGCTTTATTTTCAAAATCGAACGTCAGTGGCTTATATATATATATATATATATATCGTATAGGTAAGGCGGTTAGCCTATGCTTTAATTTACGATTTATAATCGTAAATACCATTGGGACTCGACTGATGAACGACGAACGTATATACGAATGAATATATAAATTTTCATTTGCCCGTTTGGTGAGGTCAGTAATGTCCCCCCGCATAACCGCATGTTAATTCGACAACGACCAACGGAATCATCCGATACCCCCACCCCTTGCCGGCACAATGCATTTAGTCGCACCTCAAACTTCCGCCAAAAGATTACGTACGTTCGTTCGGTGTACTCGTCACGCCGGCCTGTTACACATTATAATAAAGCAAAGATCTCTGGATCAATGCACTATAATAGATTTTACAGACTAACGGAATGAAATTTCTTCCAATGCTTCGTCGTGTATATTTACCACCGCGTTAAACGGTTTATTTTATCCATATTAAATTAAAATAGAGCGCCCTGTAAGAGTATCTCTCTCTCTCTCTCTCTCTCTCTGTCTTTCGTACATATATACATCATCGATTCGACAGTCGTTTACGTAATTCCTACCGAGGAGGGGGTACACATCTAGACAATAAACAATTTTCCATAGTTTCCATAACTACTACTCCCTTAAGCCCAACCCTTTGTCCTTTGTTACTACTGTTACTGTCGAGGGATGCCGCCGGTGAAATGTTCTTAACAACCCCTCTCCTCCTCCCCAACTCCCAGTTAAAGAAGACGAATGCGTTAATTCTTCACGTTGTAGGCGTACTTTTTGGCCCTGAAAAGGGCCGATTGAAAATAAACAAAATGGATATATCTAAGCGCGCTCGCCACGGATGCGACGGGCCAGCTGGATATCTTTGGGCATGATGGTTACGCGCTTGGCGTGAATGGCGCAAAGGTTCGTGTCCTCGAAAAGGCCGACGAGGTAGGCCTCGCTCGCCTCCTGGAGGGCCATCACCGCCGAGCTCTGGAAACGCAAGTCGGTCTTGAAGTCCTGGGCGATCTCACGGACGAGGCGCTGGAAGGGCAGTTTACGGATGAGGAGCTCCGTACTCTTTTGATAGCGACGGATCTCACGAAGAGCGACGGTTCCTGGACGGTAACGGTGAGGCTTCTTCACTCCACCGGTAGCCGGAGCGCTTTTTCTCGCGGCCTTGGTCGCCAACTGCTTCCTCGGGGCCTTACCTCCGGTGGACTTACGGGCTGTTTGCTTAGTACGAGCCATGACTATATTAACCAGTGGAAAGTCCGGTTCTCAATGATTCCTATCACCTTCGACGTACGTATTTATAGGTTTGGCGGAAGCGTACGGACGAGGCGATTGGCCACTCTCACGATAGAAGGGGAAGCACGTTCGCTTTGTCAACTGATTTGGAGCCTAACGCCCGTGTGTGCACGCACACATGCATAATGCACATCCCTCTCTTTCTACGAGCGCTTATACGCATCTATGCATATGTGTATATATATATATATATATATATATATATATATATATATATATATATATATATATATATATATATATATATATATATATATATATATATATATATATATATATATATATATATATATATATAGATATAAATATCATGTCCACGTGCGATCGAACGTTCCTTCACTTCTGACATTGATACGTTGCTGCTTGGCAGGGTATGAGAATCTGACGATGAGCGTTACGTAACTTTTGCGATGCCTTACCACTACTGTCTGTCTTACTAATGACAACGCGATTGTCAATTGTTTATTGTATGTTAACCTTAAATAACTTCGCCCAGCCTCGCTTTCCATTACTTATATTATTTGAATATTTGATGAGTCGAGGGTGCTGCAAACTCTCGCTTTTCGTGCGATTAAACATGCGTATGTTAAATTTGTATTGTGCGCCATTGGACAAAAATAAATTTCCCATTAATTTTCTGGCTAATTATCGCTGTTTTAATGACCGTTGGAAAATCCGTCGGAATGCTTTAATTACTTTAAAATTATCCTTCCTTAGTTTATGGCGCGATTCTTTGATCCTACCACCGCGTCATTTCCTCGAAAATTACTGGACTCTATTAATTGCTTTAAAACTTGATTCGTTGCACTTAATGCGAAACTCGTCGCCAAGTGTGTATAAATAATAGCTCGTTGATTATGCAATATTGGCATTTTTAGCGACCATGTGTCCTAATAATGTTAACAATTTTGTATTTCCTTTAGATTTCATTCGATTTGTCTCCTCCATAGGTTTTTCAAATTTTGATAAACAGCAAACCGTCGTGCTTCAAGTGTATAATTAATAATCTTCTTTTCCATGAATTTCAACATACATATGAAGTAATGTGTGACATGGCAAATATAATATTTGTATTCAAAATAGAAAAATTTAATATGAATTTAAATTGACAAATTTTGATACTAAACGTTTAATGACGGATAAAGGTTACGTAATGGAAAACAAAGACATTTTAATAAAAAAAAAAATTAATTTTATTATCATTGTCACTATAATGTTCAGCTGTAACGTGGAATTTGATTTAAGGTAAAAAAAAAAAAAAAAAAAAATTGCGTAAATCGATGGATTTAGTCGTCCGTCTTGAAAAAAATACGGAATATTAGTTTATATAATAAATTCGATCCAAACGATTCAAAGTTTCTTGGTGGCCCTGAAAAGGGCCGATTGTGAAAATAATGCTGATTGAGAAAATATAATTAAGCGCTCTTCTCAGTCTTCTTGGGAAGGAGCACAGCTTGAATATTAGGCAGGACTCCACCCTGAGCAATAGTTACTCCAGAGAGTAATTTGTTGAGCTCCTCGTCATTACGGATGGCCAGCTGAAGATGACGAGGAATGATTCTGGTCTTCTTGTTGTCTCGGGCGGCGTTACCCGCCAACTCGAGAACCTCAGCGGCTAGGTATTCCATGACGGCTGCGAGGTAGACCGGAGCACCGGCACCAACGCGCTCGGCGTAATTGCCCTTGCGAAGTAGACGATGAATACGTCCTACGGGAAACTGAAGCCCAGCCCTGTTTGAACGGGTCTTTGACTTTCCCTTAACCTTACCGCCACCTTTGCCACGACCAGACATTATAGCTTAAGCGTTTGATCAACAACAAAAAAAAAACAAGAACTGCACGATAAGCGTGCGACGGGCTGCTTTTATATCTTTTCATCGTGTTTGGCCGCTGCAACGAGCGAGCGTTACTGTGCCGCTTGGAGGAAGAGTGGGGATTGTCGGCCAATCATTGGTGCGGACGAGTCGGTGGCCAGCAGTTATAAAGGACGGCGGAATCGTGGCTCGCACAGACGAGGTTCGAGTTTCGATAATGGCACCTAAAGCGAGCGGCAAAGCGGTGAAGAAGTCGGGCAAGGCCCAGAAGAACATCACCAAGGGCGACAAGAAGAACAGGAAGAAGCGCAGGAAGGAGAGCTACGCCATCTACATCTACAAGGTGTTGAAGCAGGTTCACCCGGACACTGGTGTGTCGAGCAAAGCCATGAGCATAATGAACAGCTTCGTGAACGACATTTTCGAGCGCATCGCCGCCGAAGCTTCGCGTCTCGCTCACTACAACAAACGCTCGACCATTACGTCCCGGGAGATCCAGACAGCCGTGAGGCTCCTGCTACCCGGTGAGCTGGCCAAGCACGCCGTCAGCGAAGGCACTAAAGCCGTCACCAAGTACACCAGCTCAAAGTAAATTCTTTACGATTTACTCCGCAATGAACAATCGGCCCTTTTCAGGGCCACTATATCATGATAACGATACAACAAACTTTTCAACAATATTATTGCCTAATTACTAATGACTTATTAATAATAATAATAATAAATAAAAAAAAAAAAAAAAAAAAGGAAAAGAAATTTTAATAATGGCTATATAGCTTATAAATATATTTAAGAAAGCTTATTTAAAAAATTCAAAAATCAATGAAATAACCATTTTATATTTTACTTTTATACTCTCTAACGCTTGTTTTGAAAAAGCATGGCATAGCATAGCATTTTATTCTAAAATTATATACGATTAGTATAAATTGCACGAAAGACTATATAAAAAAAAAAATGCATCCTCGAACCGTTTATGAAAAATTGTTGAAAAATGCTAAATAAAAAGGAAAATACTAACTACTTGGAACAAGAGCATAAAAATAAGCATATTCATATGTATATGTCCTTGGGCGTTGGGGGGTTAAGGAGGTTGTGTTTCATAAGAGAGAAAGAGGAATATTTTTGTTATACGTTATTGAAATAATTTGGTTGGCCCTGAGAAGGGCCGTTTTTATGAATCGAACTGCGTTGATCCTGAAAAGGACCATTGCCATCCATTATCGTTCTTCTCCAATTTTCATCCATCCTTGTCTCATTACTCCCCTTAATTGAATCTCACTTTCAACCGGGAGTAGTAAGTGAGTGAGTAGTAGTAGTAGTAGTAGTAGTAGTAGTAAAGGAGGAGCCGAGGAGATGACGATTTCGGTGGCTTACTTCTTGACAGCTTTAGGCTTGGCCGCGACGGTCTTCTTGGGTTTGGGTGGCTTGGGCTTAGCCGCGGGTGCTTTGCCGCTCTTCTTCGACTTGGAGGGTGATTTTGGCTTAACAGCCGCCTTAACGACCTTGGGCTTAGGTTTGGGTTTGGTGGTGGTGGTGGTGGTGGTGGTGGTGGTGGTGTTGGTGCCGGTGGCGGTGGTAGCGGTGGCGGTGGTAGCGTTGGTCGTCGTAGCCGTCGGAGCTATCGGCTTCTTTGTAACCTTCTTCACCTTCTGCACGCTCTTGACAGCGGTGGCTTTCTTCACGGGCACCTTCTTTTGCCCAACGACACTAGCGGGTTTCTTCGCGACGGGCTTCTTCACCGCTACTTTCTTCTTCTCGCCCTCGACCTTGGCCGCGAGCTTGAAACGCCCAGAGGCACCCGAGCCCTTCGTCTGCACGATACTTTTCTTCGTCACGGCGCCCTTGATGTACTTCTTTATGAAAGTCGACTGCTTTTCCACGTCGACCTTATACGTAGATGCGATGTATTTTTTGATCGCCTGTAGGGACGAGCCCTTCTTCTCCTTGAGTGCGGCAATCGCTGCGTTCACCATGTCCGAAGTCGGAGGATGATTGGACTTGGATGATGATGATGATGATGATGATGGTGCCGCCGGTTTCTTCGAGGCACCGGCGGCAGCGCTCGACGCCTTCTTGAACGAAGCTTTCTTCGGCGTCGGGACCGCAGGCACGGCTGTTGTTGCTACCGTCGTTGTTACTGCTGTCGCCACCGCTGCTGCTGCTGCTGCTACATCGGCCATTGTTTTATAACAATAATAATTCCTCTTACAAGTCAACTAGAACTTGTACAATCGTGAACTCGGTTGAGCGAGTGACGTCGTCGCTACGATGCGATAGAGAGTGAGTAGCGACGCGGCTCGCGATGTATTTATGCCTGGAGCGCGGACCGCGTAGAGAGGCCATTGGTCTTTGATCGTTTACGCGCGCCGCGATTATCCCCAGCACATTTTCTTGCCCCGTGCTTTATTAATTAATAAGCTTGTGGGGGCCGTAGCTCATTGCCCCGGATCCTCCAGCACATATTGGCCTTCGCTCCCGATTGGCAAAATGGCGTATTATCGGTGGCCTTGACGATGGCCTCGTCGATTCAACCGAGCAGCATACGCCTTCTTCGCTGACTTTTTACGCGTTAATTAAAAATAAAGCCTCGTCCGCGAAGATAAACGTCGATTTGGCTGGACGTCGGCCCAGCTCAAATGTCATGCTCGGGCATCCAATTGATTCGTCCGCGGCGTGCTCTTCGGCATTGTCGTAAATAATCTTGAATGTCAGTCGATATGTGAGCAGTTGGATCGCACTCTTTGAATCCTTGAGGATTATAATGCGATCGTGTGACAAAATGATTTTTCGCCTTTGATGAGTCGATAGCCAGTGATAATTGTCAAATGTTGAAATTGAGAATGGAAAAAATTTATAAGAACATCGATTAAAAATACGAATTTTATCGATTAGGGTGGCAATGAGTATGCTAGAAGCGGCGAGTGAAACTCGAGTTTTTTAGTCGACTCTAGGCTTCCTTGTTTTCTTGTTTTCTTGTTTTCTTGTTTTCTTGTTTTCTTGTTTTCTTGTTTTCTTCGCCATGTACCGATACATTGACAAAGTACATGAATATTATGACGTTCTACAGTTTTGCAAGGATTAACGTTTAATTTCGCGTCGTCTTAATGAGCGGCGTTGGGGAAATTCGAGGGAGGACGAAAAATCGAAAATGTATGCACTTTTTTTAAAAATTCTGATATTAATTGATTAGTGTAATGTAGCTCAGCTTTTACGCATATTCGATTTGGATTTGAACAAGAAAATATTTATTTATCGTTGATTTATTTCATTAGATTAAACCATCGTTCTCTCTCTCTCTCTCTCTCTCTCTCTCTCTCTCTCTCTCTCGATACTTCATTGATTGAAAACAATTTTCCAATTGTCTGCGTATACGGTTAATTACATATAATTAATTTAATTTTCAATTAAGTTGATTATTAAATGTAACATAAAAGAGACAAGAATCACAATTGTTAAATTCTTGAATATAATAAATGACCGAATGAAATATGCCCTTTAATAAATTGTACCGAGTACTATGACCAATTGCATTTATAAGTGGTTGATAATTTATATGTATAGATATTTAATTGCAATTATAAATCGTTGGACGTCGTGTAATTAATTAAGTTGAATGAAAATGTACATTATATGCCCGATAAGTAAACAATGTCCCGTGTACGTTGATAAAATATTCTTTAAAATAAAAATAATTGTCAAGATGGGGCGATAATTTTTGCAGAATTGTTACTAATAGTCGTAGGGTTTAAAGTATCTGTCATTAAATCATGTGACGTAAATGAAAAGCATGAAAGTCAAATGATTTTTATTATGATGCTGGATGATATATTTAGGGATTCGTCTACGTATATTTTGGCAAATCCTTGGCCTTTCGTTAACTTTCTCATGATTATTTTTGCATGCCCAATGGTAAATTAATTGTCTGATTCGTCGCGCTACAGTAAATTTTAAACTGGTAAAGAGTTATTGCGTTTGCTTTGAAAAAACAAATCAACAATTCGAGTAATAAGTAATTTAGAATAAACCCCCATTAACTATGCTTAAAACTATGTTATCCCTTCTTTTTAACAATATTTTTAACCAAAACTTTTATATTTTATATAAAATATATATTTCTGTTATTTCACAGTATCGTTTGTGCATGATTTGTTTTTGTGTGTCTGTGTGCGTGTGTCTGTGTGTGTCTCTCTGTGTCTCTGTGCGTGCGTGCGTGCGTGCGTGCGTGCGTGCGTGTGTGTGTGTATTATATATAATATATATTTTTTATATTCACTTTATTGCGTACAACGTAGCTTCGTAATGCTTACGCCTTCGATTAAATGACTATTAATAAACTATCGATTGTACTTTGAAAATTTAAAACGCGTTATTCGATGAAAATATTCGGTCTCATATACAATCAGCATCGCTTATTACAAAAATTTCTCTATAAATTTTTTGTATCTCTACAATGATAATTCTTCGTACGACGAATCTAAAAGGTTATGTTTGTTATAATATAGCTTTTTGTATTTTTGTGTATTAAATTAAACTATTATTCACTCAGAATTACGTAATAATCATTATTTGTTCAGTTGCCGATAACGTTATGTTACAGAAATTCTGTAATTTAATAGAATTTGTTGAGTCATGTGAATAAGTTTTGCATAAATAACAAAATTTATTTTCGTTTAAGATGTACTTCTATAAAGAACTAAAAGATGAAGTATTATTGAAGAAATTGAAAGATGTTTTATTAAATATTACGTTTGTATTTTTAATATAATTGAACTAGTAAAATATTCTTCTATTTCGTTAACATGGAACATTCAAAATTGACCTAAAACTTTTGCTAAATATACGATATTATATTTTGTCTTTAATAGACAATTGGAAATGTTAACTGCTTTTAAACAAAGACAGAAAGAGAGAGAGAGAGAGAGAGAGAGTGATTGAATCTATGATTCATATGCACGTGATATTTATTGTATTTACTAAACTGACTTTGTCACACTACTCTATTTTAATCATTTTAATTGTATCGAAAATTTTCACCAATAAAATTTACTATAAAAATGTAACGGCAAAGAGACGCGATTGGGAGATTATCGATAAAATTTATGGAGTTTCTCAACAGTAATCATTTGTTACTCTTCTCCTCCTCGTACTTCTCTACCTCCTCCCCCAAACCTAACAATTCCCGCCAATATAAAGATTAATGACCTTAGTTGTTGATACAGTCAAGTTCTCATATAAGGTAAAAGTAAAATGTTGAAACCGTTGTAAATATTAGTTATAATATGACTTAATGACTACTACACTACTACTAATGTCATACATACACAATTATAATTCAAATTAAATGCATACTCAATATCAAAATTAAAAACAAAATTTCGGATAAAAATTTCTTTTAATTTGTTAAATTTCATTACATTTTGATATACATGATTATATGTTTTCAATTTTATTATATATTCATGCTCCGCTCGATGACTCGTGCTCGACGAATTGTTAAATAATTTAATCGGTTATAGTATTACAATCGATTATAAATAAGCAGTGCAAACAAAATTGTATTTCGAACATAAGAAAATCAATCAGTTTCGATTATTTCACGGATATTTCTTCGAAAAATCCTGATTATAAAAGTCTAATTTGTTTACGAACAGGAGAGGGTTTGTTACAACGCCAACGCGTCTTCCTTATATTGCATTTTTCACCCGAAGTCTTTGACTTAAAACTGTTGTTAATTGATTCTTATTATGATGTACGCGGTATTATTTTACGATACGATTATAAGTTATGATTGGAAAAATGATTTGTCTGGCTATAGAGATTCTGTTCGTCAAGATGTACGATCATTTATATTAAGATAGAATAAAATAATTGAATAAATAGTATAAAAAGTTTAATGTATAATGTAAAACCAAATATATATATATATATATATATATGCTAAAAATTTAAGAGGGAACCGTAGTTATTTATAATTATTGTTTTATACTTAATTCCATATTATTTCGTTTACAAATATGTAAGTTTAATGTCGATTGAAAATCGTAATTTTTTGAGGTAGAAAAACAGGTGAGCCAAGTGAATTGTAAACTTAATTGAATTTGTCTAAAGTAATAAACATAACAAATTTTTTTTTTTTAACATTTTCTTTTGAATAATTGAAAAAAAATGTAATGAAGCAAATTTTTCTTTATTAATCTGGTATTTACTTTTTCCTTTCTTTTTTTTTTTTTTTTTTTTTTTTTTTCTTTTTTTTTTTTTTTTTTTTTTTTTTTGGCTTGTCTTCTTTTCTTTTCTTTTAAATAATTAAGAGAATTTTTCGAGAACGGAGGAAAAGACTGTAAATAAGGATTATAGCGATATTAGAACAAAATGTTTTTTTTTTTAAATTATGAAAATTTAAGGCCTTATTTGTTCTCCATTTATCTATTATCTTGGATTCTTGGAAGAAAAGGAAAGAGAAATTGGAAAAAGGTTTTAGTCAGGTCAAAAGCTGCAGAGATTGCCTATAGCCGAAGAAATTGAGCTAGAACGACAGGCTTAGATTTAGAATTATACTTTGAACCATTTATTTATTTACAATTGGCCTCGCTTCATACAAATCATAAAATTAAAATAAAGAGTAGATTTAAGCTTTATTACGAATAAATTACATCGACCATGTACTATTAAATATAAACATTATAAACAATTTAAAGCGTAAGCTATTAAATCGAATGAATTACAGATACAAATGCACGAACTGCTTATAATACTTCTATTTTTAAATAATTAATTGTAACGGATCGTATTTTAACATCTAATTATTGAATATTTTCATTCAACAGTGCAATATGTTTTAGTCATAGAAAAGTTGTGGCGAGAAATATCAGTAGATTGAGCTGGAATTTATTAGCTTTTTATTAATAATACGAACCTTGGGACTAAATAAATTTTTTGCCACAATATTTTCATTTTACAAAAACTTTTTAAAATTTTAATATTTCTTATTACATTATATAATAGCATAATTAATTACGTATTGTTCTATATGAAATTTCATACGAGTCATTCGGTTATTCTGAACTAACCGAATGGAAAAATGTCTGAAAGTTGAAAATACGAAATTTTAAATTGAGATAACAGACAGTGGAGACGGTCGAAAGATACTTGCAATTAATTTCAATTTAATGATAAGAAATTTTTTACGTTACCTTTCGCTTACAATTATCAGACCGTTTTTCTCTCCCCCCCCCCCATCCATTCCCCCAATCCCCCTCCACCCTCCACCCGTTACATGCAGCGATATCAGATGTTTGCATATTTGATTTTATCATTAAAAAATATTGCGTATCATCACCTGATGTTTATAAAAGAAGATCGCGTATATTTAACAGATTATTTATCAATGGAGAATTATATTTTCATTAACGTAGATTAATTTTGTACATTAATATGTAAAATTCTTACATAACTATTAAGTATATTTTAGGGAATTTTTAGCTAAAGTTAGCCTAATAATTTAATAACGTTTATGTTGGAAATATTTAAGCGTTTATAATAACTAATATAATGATAGCAAATAGCCAATCATGATTTATTCTCTAATGGTAATTAACGGATATCATTTGAAATTTCTGGCTTAGTTAAAAACATTTGCCTCGCCAGTGTTTTGAATATCTCACTTGCGTTGAAATTAAATTAGCTGTGATCGGATTAATTAGCGATTTAATCCATAAGCCTAAGAGTTTTGTATATTTTTAAGTATTTTAGTAATCGTTATTCCTGTTAATTTTATCGTATATTTCTCCATGTACGTTACTTGCACATTACGCGTTAAAGTCTCTTCTTACTTGTAATGAGCCTGTTGCTAGCGTTGGAAATGTTGGGTTAGGTTAGGTTAGGTCTCTCTCTCTCTCTCTCTCTCTCTCTCACTCGCTACGTTATAAATCCTTAAAAATTGTATAGAAATTTTGTGATAAATTACATATGAAAGTAGTGCAAGGCTGTAAAAAATATGTTTGTTACTGAATTGAGTAGGGTGTGTGCGATGAGTTAAATGGAAAATAAGCCGGAACAACTGAAATTCGGCCGGTGCATTTTTATATCGAGCAAAGTGCAAAAGTGTATGTTATTAAGGTTACAAATAATTAACACACTTGTTCTTAATATTAGTAACTTGTCATAACCTAATTTATTTAAATAATCTGTCGTATTTTTTCATTACGTCAATATTTATATGTTGTGTAGATTATTAATTCTTATTATTGTATCATTAAAAGCTTATTGTATTATCAAGAGTATGTGATGATATGTACTTTACAGATTAAAAACAACGGCCCTACAAATATTTATAATGGATTGCTAAAGATGAAACTTTTTAAACTTATTGTACATCAGAAAAATTTCAGTGGCGAAGATCTTATTATCAATCCAAAGGATTATCCAGGGATAAAAACTGGAGATGTCGTTGAAATATACCATCCAGACGATGAATTCAGTCGACTGCTTCTTCAGGTCACATCTTTCAAGGAGGATCTACAAGGCAGAGAGACGATTAGCGTCGAATATAATATAGCGTCCATGTTTCAGTTGCGAACGTTTGGCGATGTTTACATGAATGTAGTCAATCCCGATAATGTTGCTTTGGATTCTGTTGAAGTTACATTCAAGGATCAATATATGGGTCGTAGCGAAATGTGGAGACTAAAAAATAGCCTGGTATAATAAATGTTAATAATTCTTTTATACGCTTTAGCGCAATAATTAATCGATAACAAATATTTGAATCTCTAGCCGATTATGAGATAATTGGTACTTTGTACGATTGGCTAACAAAAGTCTGGATCGATTAGCATCTAGTGAAATAAATGATACATGTAATTCTTTTTTATTACTAGGTCAACACGTGTGTGTACATGAATAAAAAAATTGAATTTTGTGGCGGTAGTATAAGATGTCAGGTCTATGAAATGTGGTCACAAGGTGACCGTGTTGCTTGCGGAGTAATAACGGATGACACCAAAGTTGTGTTTCGCTCGTCAACCAGTATGGTCTACCTCTTCATTCAAATGAGCTCGGAGATGTGGGATTTTGATATACACGGAGATCTGTATTTTGAAAAGGCTGTCAATGGTTTCCTAGCAGATTTATTTCAGAAGTGGAAAAAAAATGGTAGCAATCATGAAGTAACGATCGTTCTATTCTCAAGAACATTTTATAATGCCACGAGTCTCGAAGAATTTCCAAATTACATGCGCGAATGCTTACAACAAGATTACAGAGGAAGATTTTACGAAGACTTTTATAGAGTGGCGGTTCAAAATGAACGATACGAAGACTGGAGCAATGTTTTAGTGCAATTGCGAAAACTTTTTACCGATTATCAGAAAATTGTACTCGAGTATCATCAAAAATCTGGTGTCATCATTCCTAAAGCAACAAATTCCACCGCTGCGCAGGGCAATTTTTTAGAAGTTTTAAATATGTCGTTAAACGGTACGAATAAGTGATATATTTTTTAAACATTTTAATGTAATATTATTATGATAAGTAACTGGAGATTTAAGAAATTGCGTGAATTTTTCAGTATTTGAGAAGCATTATTTAGACCGCAGTTTCGACAGAACCGGTCAGCTGTCGGTTGTTATAACACCGGGAGTCGGTGTTTTCGAAGTGGACAGGGAATTGACAAACGTTACTAAGCAGAGAATAATCGATAACGGCGTCGGCAGTGATTTGGTCTGCGTCGGGGAACAACCATTGCACGCAGTTCCACTATTAAAGGTTAATTTTTCTTTCCCCTATAATTTAAAAAAAATTTTCTACCAACACACGATGAAACAGACGCTCTCTTATATTTTAAACGTCCTCTGTGCTTTTGCAGTTTCACAACAAAGATTCATCGATAAATGTACCAGACGATTATAGTATGCCTCACTGGATAAACTTAAGCTTCTATTCTACAAATAAAAAAATACCGAACTCAACATTTATTCCACGTATCAAACTACCTCAACGAGTATCGAAATCCTCAAGCGATAATAGCAATGGAAAGCTCCTCAACAATAAAGCAAGACTTTTACAGGAAGACACTCGAGAGTACCTGCACAATTCTTTCTTTGACTACGATGCCTATGACGCTCAGGTTTTTCAACTACCGCCCATTCATACCTCTAGCTTGCAGCGCGTTTCAACGAGAACGAAGAAAACAAGTGTCGTCTGCATGGAAACTCATAATAACGCACAAGCGTTAAAATTACTTAAGAGAAAAATGTCAGATCCGGACATTCATCATCCACCACCGGAGGTTCATCCATCGCCATTGTCAGTAGTCACCTCGAATTCCTCGTCGCGCAGCGCTGCGATATCAATTCCATCACGAAGCGAAAATGTCACGAGTAACGAGTCGAACGGCGAAGTTAATGGTACGTTACGGCTATTATTAGCTTTCACAAGAAATCAACTTTTGTACAATATGCGTGCGTGTGCGTGTGCGTGCGCATGTATGCAGTTAATGTAATAATTGCATCCGTTGAATCGTCAATGTATTTAACGGTTTAAAAATATGGCCTTAATCTTTCCTTCCCAACGTTATTCACATTGTTTGCCTGAAATTTCAACTTTATACCGAATACGACACGCCCTTGTTTCTGACTATTATAATGCAAATAACAATAACGATAATACGGTAGTCGATAACAATTACAACCAGTCATTCAATTAATTACAAGCGCCGGCACGGACAAAACACGATACGAGAAATAATTTTAATCGGATAGCGTTTAGACATTTACCAGCCATCTTATCACTTATCGTTAGAACATATTTTTATCTACGAGATTCGGGGAAAATAAGGAAGATGCGATTATTCATGATATATTTATACGTAACGTAACACTTTACTCCTCGAAAATATAAAAATAAATAATAAATTTAATTAAGATAGTTCATTCTAATTATCAATGAATGAGAATGAGACTTATCGGCAGTCTATTTAATTGTATATTAAAGTGTTCGTTACATTGATATATGTATCCTCTTACCTTTATCTTACGTGCAAATTTTAATAAAAACTTTTGCAATTACACGCGTAGGTATGAAAGATAAGAAAGAAAATAATGCACAAACAGCTAAACATGATAAATAAAAGAAAAGTTGAAAAATCGTGCCGTCGAGAATACGTGGCACCCTGCCGTTTAACTCCATCAACAGTTTCTAACTTTTTCTCATTTTCCCTTTCTCGTATAATCTCGCTCGATCTCGCGTAATAATGACATTATTTCATAATAAGACAGGGAACGAATTTAATTTTGCCAATTATTATTTGCAATTCAGGTTCTTCAGACGGTCTTCAAACCCGTCGGAAATAATTCAACAGCCGTTATTACAGTTACGTGCGTGCGAGGAACCACAGTTTTCAGGCATTTTACGTTCAATAGCGCAATCTGCACAATACCATTAATCATTTTTCGTAAGGTATATCAGTCTCGAGTGGCATCTTATGAATTTTCCCATACACATTACGTTGCGATTTTTCCATTTTTATATAATAAGATCGTAAGAGCAAGAGACGCAAGAAAGGAAGGATATAAAAGCCTCAGCCCCCCCCCCTCCCGCCAAACGGAAGAGTGTGCTTTCGTGATAGCTATCTGGTGACACGGAGGGCAAGGGCTGGATGTCGAGGCCCGTAAGTCCCAATGATTAAGGAGAAGTTGGACACCGAGCACGATATCCGGCCCACTCGCCCCTTATCGACATATTTGCTCAGGTCTAATCGCGGCCTTTTGCTTCTCCCAGGATTGTCGCGAACCTCGGTGAAGAGCGACGCGACCGACAGCGAGATCTCGCCGCCGTTTCGGCCGGTGGTCGGCAGTGCCGGCAGCCCGACTCCGAGTTCCATGGTCCAGCAGCCGACGGCGGTCCTCCGGCCGAGTCGCGCTCTCATCAATCCCTTTGATCCCTCGCACGTGACAATCAAGTTAACGAGCAATCGCCGCCGCTGGACACACATATTCCCCAAGGGTCCGACCGGCGTCCTCATCCAGCAGCATCACTACCAGGCGGTGCCCGCGGCGGCCCAACAGCGCACCCTCGAGACCCAGCACTCCCTCGAGGTCGCCTCCCTTCTCGGTACCTCGCCCCCGGAACAGCTCGCATCTGGAACCGGCAGCGCCACTACATCATCCACCGCTATCGCCACCACCACCACCACCACCACCATCACTACCACCGCTACCACCACCACCACCACCACCACCACCATCACCCCCACCCACCACCACCACCACCACCACCACCACCACCACCACCACCACCACCACCACCACCACCACCACCACCACCACCACCACCACCACCACCACCACCACCACCACCACCACCACCACCACCACCACCACCACCACCACCACCACCACCACCACCACCACCACCACCACCACCACCACCACCACCACCACCACCACCACCACCACCACCACCACCACCACCACCACCACCACCACCACCACCACCACCACCACCACCACCACCACCACCACCACCACCACCACCACCACCATCACCACCACCATCACTACCACCGCCACCACCACCACCACAACCACCACCACCACCACCAACACCACCACCACCACCACGACCACCACGCCTACCTCTACCGCCACCGCCATCGCCACCGCCACCGCCACCGCCACCGTCACCGCTACAATGTCGCGCTCAGCCTCGCAAACCTGCTTCAACGAGCGTAAGTACAAACGACACTTTCAAGCCTATTCACTCGAATCTAATTTTTTATTCTAAACGCTTTCGGTATCTTCGTCGTTTGCCATCTTCCACCGTCGTTATATTTCCCTTATTATCCTATGCTCGACCGATAGTTTTGATCGTGCGGGTATTTTATATTGTCCCATTGGATGGTGAAAATTGGCAGTGATTAATAAACGTTGCCGACAAATTTTGCGATAAATCGATATAAATCCAAGACCAAAGAGATATAGACGCGTGCGGGCATTAATTAACGAAGGCATTCATAAGGATTAAAGATTCGATGAATTTTAATGCTCTTGGGGAATGGAAACGGAGCAAACCCGCGTTGATGATTTAATGAAATAATATTACCATTTCTTTTTTTTTCTTTTTTTTTCTTTTTTTTCTTTTTTTGAAATCGCTAAAAGGAAAAAATACTTTGACATATAATATCGTGTATTGTATAATGTCGAGATGGGAAAAGTATATTTGGGATTGTTCGAAGGCAATACTACTATAGTAATGAAAGTAGTTGATGGAGAGCGATAGGAGAGAAGGAATAAACGAATGGACGAAAATAGGGATTATATATATAAAAAAAAAAAAAAAAAAAAAAAAAAAAAAAAAAAAAAAAAAAAAAAAAAACCGCTGGTAAGCGAATGTGCGCGCCGCGGTTAATCGAGTTCGTCGAATATTCGCAAAGCCACCAAGAAGAATCGGGGCGAATTGACAGATCGACAAATCTCCCGAAACAAGCGACTACCTGCCCGGAATACGTCCTGGTTGCTGGCGAAGATATTGTTTAGGTCGGACAATACAGCCTTCCTTCCCTCTCAATTCCATAGAAATAATAATTTCTCCCTTTATGATTTCCTCTCTTTATGATCCATCCAGAATTTTTCGCGGTGGATTAGAGAGAGAGAGAGAGAGAGAGAGAGAGAGAGAGAGAGAGAGAGAGAGAAAACTGGCATTCTCTAAAGTGTTTCAGTGGAGAGGTACTTTCTTCTGGGAACCTTAGAATTCACGCGGCTCACACGGCTTTCTGTAGACATTCTGAAAAGTGTCGACGATCGACCTTGGCTCGTTGCTTTTCTGAACGAATGGATTTCGAGCTGTCGGAGTCGGATATACATTGAATTTATAAACTAATGGATAGATTTATTTGTATCGTCGGGCATACAATTTACATTTATTGTAAAATAAATTCCAACGATTAATTTCTCGGGTGGATATGTTGAGAATTCGTTCGCTTAGATTTGAAATCGACCGCGAGTTAACCAAAGAACAAAGAGAAAAAAGTCGTTTGTTTGCTTAATTTGGCGAAGTGTAAAATAATGTTACCCGGCAGGTAACGTTGAATTGGCTGCTCTTCCTCTTTCATCACCACCTTATCTCGATGAAATAATGCTAAGATGACGATGGGAGCAAAATGGGCGGGATGCAAATAAAATAAGAGCCAGCTCAAGTGATTGAACAATCTCGTTATCCCAATCGCGAATAAATCGGCCGTTATTGAATTTCAGATGCAAAGGGCAAATCGCAACGTATGCATTTGCCGTTGGCGAACAACGTCGACAAGAGAACAACGAGCGGCTCCAAGAGCCTGACGCTGCTCTGGGGTGCGACCGGGGAGCAAGAATGGACACCTGCGCTCACCACCGGTTTGTATTTTTCACTCCATAATTATATAATAAAGTTTCGGCTCGCTATAAGCTCGGTTGTGAATTTGGTTTATGAATTGTAATATGGTCGGAGTGAGCGCGAAAGGATGATCGCCCGGTGCGTTATGAGAATGGCATGCAGCGGAATAATTTTAACAGGAAGTGATACAACAATAATTCCGTTGGGGAAAACGATGTCTTTTCCCTTCGTTACAATTATATGGAATCGAGTATTGTGGTTGCCGAGTAAATCAATCAGGGCATTTATGGTTTTGAATTTGCACACGAGTGTCGTTCGCGTCAATGTCAGGCCTCAGAATTTAGATCGCCGAAGCTTGGAAAATGTCGTTTATTTATCCTTGATCATTTTCAATCATTTTTAAATCGCTCATCACAAGCCACGCTATCACTCAAGGTTTTGTGCTTTATTACTTCCTCTCGTTTTTTAAGTTATTTCAAAAAAGATTCAAACGTTAGGCTTTACTATGAGCGATAAAGTGCTTTTATTACCGATTTTCTTTATGAATAATCAAACTTATGAAAATCCGTATTATTCCGACGGTTGAAAGAGATAGGCTTCTTGACTTTAAAAGTGAAATAACGAATAATGCTTTTCGGTATCAATCTTACTTGATAATCATAAGATAGCGGACAAAATTTTTTTTTTAAAATATTTCGATTATTATTGTTACTTAATATTTGTAGCAGCATTTTATTACGTAGAATCGTTAATTAATTTATAATTATCGTCAAGCGGGTCACGTAACGTTATTCACTCGCAAATCATTCGCAACATAAAAAGGAAGAAAATTAATTTTTTAAAAATAAGCCAATAAATTATGCGGTGATAACGAACACACAAATATTTAATAAAATACTTCATTTTCCTAAGGTCATAGCGATTTAAAATTTTACAACCCATTGACGTGTAATATCACACGTTTGTATTGCAAGTTATTGTAAGCTGGACAATATTTTGCCGTTTAATTCTTTGATAATTTTTACTCATAATTCATAACGCTCGCTTCTTGTGTGTCTTCATGCTAATCTTCATTTACAACGTCACGGTTTCATGCTTAAGGGGTCAAGCCACTATTACATTAATTCTTATATGCTAAACATGTACATTTCTTATAAAGTTGTGAACATGCATAATCGAAAACATTGGTCAATTATAATTTGACTCCTAGTGAACATTATCATATGATTTTATTTTTCTGTAAATGCCATAAACATTTTTTAATCATAATAATTACAATTTGAATAACTAGTTTTCTCTTCCTCTCACTCTCTCTCTCTCTCTCTTTCTCTCTCTCTCTCTCTCTCTCTCTCTCTCTCTCTATCTATCTATCTATCTATCTATCTATCTATCTATCTAAATATATATCTATCTATCTAAATATATATACATATGAAAATTGAATAAAATCAAGTTATTATAAAATTTTTTTATTTCAATTCTTACAAAAATTTGAAATATTCAATTAATGTATTAAGAATTTGCGAACAATAGTAAACAATATAGGTAGACTAATTTGTTAAGTATAATACAAATACAATTCAAATTATTTATTTAACGAATACATGGATTTTTGCCAATTTTTCACAAAAGAATATTTTACATTTTTTCTTTTTTTTTTCAATAAAATTCTAAAGCGTTCTTGTATTATTAGAATTTTATTATATTTAATATATACATATATATATATATATATATATACATATATTAAACAATATAACGTATATTTTAATACACAATACTTATTCATAATTTAAAAAATGTAATTTAAAAAAAGTAGTTAAATACATATTAATCGTCTGCAATGATTAATATATTGTTAATTTAAAAAAAAAAACTAAATACGATATACATACTGTTTAATATTAGAAAAGAACGTTTACAAATTTTTAATAATTAATAAAAATGTGATTATATTGACGCGTTGAGTGGTACGAATTAATATTTGTTATCCACTTAATTTTTCATTAATCTTAAAGCTATATATTGTAGTCTAAAATTTAATTTTTTTTTCTTTTTTTTTTTTACATTTTTATATTGATTTTAAAAGTTAATAATCGACAAATTAACATTTAAATATCGAATCGCGTTGAAAGGCGTTTTTTCTCATTCTTACGTAATTTTTATTTCATTTTAAATCTTTTGTAATGTCTGTAAATAATAAAATGAATCCAGTTTCTTCTTTTCTTGTCTTTTTTTCTTTTTTTTTTCCAATGTATTTAACTAGAACATAATATTGCGTATGATTGAAATGTAAGCTTTTATGCCCTTCAGCATCATATCCTTAAGCTTTTAAAAGATTCGATTTACTATGTTTCATGAAAGAAAATTAAAAAATTGATAATTCTATGGAAATTTTATGATGAAACAATGTATTAATGCTTATTGGCATAAAGATGGTTGTATACTAGAAGACAAATATAAGACAAAAATAGCTTTTAAGCTTTTAATTAATTTGAAATTACCAATTTTTTTCTAACGCTACCTTAGAAAAGGAATGTATGGCAATTAATGTATTTAGCAGTGCCTTCTCCCCTTAAAACAGATATATTATACATATATATATAAACACACACACATATATATATATATATATATATATATATATATATATATATAATATATTTTATATATTTTTTATATAATATTTGAAGCAATTGCGTAACATTACTTTATATAAGTATGACGCATCGACGGTATTCATACGTAATTATATTATCGAAGATACCGAAGAGTACGGAAAATGCGGTGGTCCTTATTTAATTAAACATCGAAGCAACAAGTCTTCAAATATATCATCTTACGAATATTTATTATTATTTTTATTTTGTTTAAGGATTAACGAACCGCACGTAAATATACCATTTGAAAAATGTCTATATATAAAATGTTCAGTGTTTCACAATGTTTTTATTTTTTATTATTTTCATTTGCACTCTTTGGTGGTAAATGCAAGTTTTACAGAAATTTTATTGCGGATGAGAACAATAGCACTTTGGAAATAATACATGTTCAATTTATATTTCCATGCTGTGGTACGTGTTATTGGGGATGCAACGCTGGATGTGTCAATGTGTGTTCGATGTGCGACTATGATGTCACATTAAACAGCGATCATAGGTTAGCGACACACATTACCGAAGTGTTTACTCGTTCGGTTAATGGTATACTATAAATTCAGAATAAAATTTTATTCAAAGCTGATAGGCCTAATTTAGAAATATCTATTTTACTTGGATCTATACTATCGTCGTGATACCTAACTATTTATCTCGACATTTCTGTTATACGTCAATGCATGAAAATCAAGGTATTTCAAGGAGACGCGAAAGCTCTTTATTTCTTTCAATATTTGGTAAAAATTAATAATAATAACAATAACTATTTTCTAAACTGTATGATCGGCTCTCGATGAAAGTATGATAAATTAATATGCACATTTTCACTAGATGACTTTTTTCTCTCCATATAATATGACAACACAAAGGAAAATTATTAATAAATATTAGCTATACTAAGAACGTTGAAAAAATTTTATTATATATAATCAAGTTTCACTTACGATGGACATTATAATTAATACATCGACTTAATTGAGCTAATTACAATTAGTATAAATTTATTATGGCATACTTTTGTAAATGTATTTGTCAATGCTGTTTTCAAAAAAAGAAAGAAGAAAAAAAAGCCAATCACTCCATCTCTGTTTTTGAAAGTGCAGCTTGCGAATACCGAGTAAATGCATTAAGAATAAAGGCGCGACATGATTTTTCATCCTGGATTTCGAATTTTAAATTCTTATGAATGGAAAATTCGAATTAAAGTAATAATAAAAGTAATGTGTAAAATTATAATTTGTTGTTTCTCGTCTCCTTCAACAGTAGTTTAGATTCGTAACTAACTTTATATTCAATCACAAGAGTAGTGAAAATAGTAATTTTAAGCATTATTTATGTATTTACATTTTTTTATCTCTGGCATTACCCATACATACATATTTTAATTTTTTTTCCTCTCAATATCTGCACGTGCTTCTTTCTCTCGCCTCGTTCTTTCGTTCTTTTCCACTCTGCCTTTCTTATTCCATCACCCTCGTTTTAATCTCATTCACTCACTCTCTCTCTCTCTCTCTCTCTCTCTCTCTCTCTCTCTATTTTCTTTTTTTTTTCTACCCTTCTCACACGTGCCTCCTTTTAAAGCATTTTTTCACGCTTTTCACTCTTCTTTATGCTTCTCTTTTAAATTACACATATTTTCTGATAACAATTTAAGTAACCTTTGCGAAAAAAACATAACACTCAAGCGTAAAATAAGGCACCAGACTGGTATGTTCTGCGCGACATAAAAATGTAATCCTTAACATAAATAATTTAACGGCTAAATGCATCGCTAAAGTTCGGTAATTGTTTTTTTCGTAAAAGCGTTGGGCCTTAATTTTAATGTAATTGTAAATTATAAGTGTACGTTAGAAGCAATAGTTCTAAAAATGCACACTTTGAGTATACGTTAGCTTTTAATATTATATGTATTCATATAAACAAATCGCGAATCGTCCATTCCTTATATAGAGTATCGTTATCTTTTCAAAACACAACTGCAGGCGTCGACTGGAAGTCGCTAACAATTTCGGCCTGCCTGCCCATCACGACAGACTACTTCCCCGACAAAAGGAGCCTGCAAAACGATTACGTCGTCTCGGACTACAATCTGCTACCCGACGACGTGAACGCCGACTTTGCCCAGCAACGGGCGATCTATAGGAAGCCTTTGTCCACGGGGGAGGTGTTTAAGGAGCTTGTCTCCCAACGTCTCGCGCAGGTCACTCAAACCAACTTTTTACGAAAATAAAGCAATTTCATCCATGGTGCATTCATCAATGTCAAATTTTATTGTTCGAGATAAATCAGATTCGTATCCATTACAGCATAATGCTCTCGAACAGTTTATATTTTAAACATAATCATTATAGTCCGAGTCTACTTTATGATTTTGTGCGCGCGCGCGCGAGCATTATATTTAATTGGCATGTTTAATTGTAGTATTGGGCGATAGCGTTATACATTGTGTTATACCAAGACAATCTTGTGAATATTGGCGATGACTTAGAGACTCCGATGTTGGAAATTTTTAAGAAAAGCATTTGGCCTGTTCCATTTGGATACCGTTAATACTTACGTTAGTCGCACTGCATTAACACGAATTGAATATGAAAGGCCAATGGACTCGAGTCGCCAGAGTATTTAAATTTATTTTAATTTAAATTTTGCAGGGATTTCAACTTATAATTTTACCGTTAAGTAAAAATCAAATACCAACGCCCGGTTCGAATTCGGTGCCTCCTATAAGCTCGGTGATGCGAGGAAGACAGACTGATTCAGAGCACAAGGAAGAATATTTATTGAGTATAGGAAGGATATTTCATAAAATTTCTCTTTGTGGGAATTCAATAAGCGTGACAAGATACAGACCAAGGTGATCACCAACATTATACAAAGGCATAATACCAATACGAATATACCACTAGGTTTTATATTTGCGAGCGCAAATTATTATTATTTCCATTAATATTATATGTACAGAACTTATGGGCCCATGGCGCACTGTACACGTAAACGCATAATTTAACAGTAATATATATATATATATCATTTTTAAAGTATCGTATGTTGAATTAAACTATTAAACTTTAAACTATTTAATAGTTTATAATTTATATATTTTGACGTACAATATTATTTATTTTTTTTTTTTTTAGACATCCATATCCACCTTTTAATATTCATTATCGTTATCGATTCCACGCGCCTCATCACGATACCTACGAAATCTCTTGGGTTTCTTTCAGTACTGAAAAACTCGAGAATTATAATTGGAATTATTTAGATCATTATATATGCACGAGGGGAGATACCGACTTTGCTTTAGTCGAGGTAGAGTATTAATTCACAACGCATACGCACACAACACAGAAACACCCACAAATACACACACGCAAGCACACGCACATATATATATATATATATATATATATCTACATGTTATGAGATATATGAAAAAATGTATGTTTCTTGAAAATTGACTTCGTGTCTCATGGTGTTTTAGGCGTTGAAATATTGGAGGTTCAGAGTCTTCCTACTACCTTTACACAATCAAGCTACGCGTAAAATACTGGAGGGTTCATCTCATTGCGACATTTACACGCAATCCACGCCAATGGAGCAAACATCGCTAATGGATGGATTTTTACGATTTATCGAAGGCTGGCTCAATAAAATTCGTCGTCCCCATCCAAACAAAAATTGGGTATTTTTATACGCTACTTCCTCCTTTTCATACAAACTTCCTCACGTTGGTTTTAAGTTAAAATATTCTTGTTATTACTATTGTATTGCTTTCAGTCTTCGAGAGAGATGTATTTTGTTTATTAAAGTTTTTGACCCACAGCACAGTCGAGCCATTAGCATGAGAAAGCTCGACGAATCACTAATGACCAATACTATCGAATAATGCCGCTTATTTTACAATTACAATAACAATTGCAATTAGTCACTTACACACTAATCACTAAGATTTAATCTAACAATGTACAGTAGTAGTTGACAGTAGATTATCAGTAAATGGTCCTTCGATGTATAATTATATTTTAGTTAACATATCTCGTTTTCTTCATTTACGTCATTCCAAAGTGAATTTATCAAATTATTAATGATTACGACGGTATTAGTGAATAAAACAGGTAGATTTAATGAGATAAGTGACAATCCTTCTTAATTTAAAATACGTTTTAAGTAAAGCTACAGTTAATCAATGCGCGGTATTATTGCTTTTTAAATTTATAATTTATAATTATTAGTAAATGTTGTTCGTACAAAATTTTTTGAAAGGCTGTTCAACCATTCCGACTTTATTATAAATATTACATTTTTATATGCTTATGGCTTAGTGGCCTAAAATTGTCACAATCGTTTCCTCCACAAAATATACACCTGTTATCATTCTTTAAAAAAAAAAAAAAAAAAAAAAAAAAAAATCAGGAGATTCATTATTTTCCCACTCATTTGACTTGTCAAGCTTAACAAATTATTACTAATTTACGGGTTTTTTTTTTTGTTTTTAAAGAATGAAATAACGACGTGACAAATGCATGCTGAAACGAGGCTCATAGCCGGTAGAGGAGCCGCTTTATGATAGAAACAGAAAAGCACGAGTTCTTAAGCAAGTCTCGTAACGATAGCGTAGTGTTTAAAAAAAAAAAAAAAAAAAAAAGCATCAGGTGTAGCAGGGCCAAAGGTAAAGGTCGGGCTGCTCAAAAGTGGCTGACTCTCTACCTCAATAGGCCGTAGAGAAAATAAGTGGAATTGAAAGGAGGGTGGGAGGGAGGTTTATCGGGTGTAGTCGGGCTTTGCGGCAACCGGGGAATATCGATCCGAGTATCAGCATGATGTGTTTCAGAGCCCAACAGCTCTTGGCGGGATTCCCCCAAGAGATCCTGCCTCCCACTTGACCAGACGCAGGCACAGCACGAGCCTGGTATCCCTCACTAACCAGGTACTTTTCTTACTACCCGATCTCACCAATTACGTCAGATTGTTTCGTATTAATAATCTGCGACGAATAAGTAATAATGGACAAGCAATTATTATTTAATAATTAACATTTTTTTAATAATAATGATTAACAACAACAACAACAACAACGATAATAATAATAATAATAATAATAACAACAACAACATCAACAACAACAACAACAACATCGACGACGACGACGACGACGACGACGACGACGACACTAACAACAGCAATGATAATGATAATAATAATTGTCATAAGAAAATGACCATAAGAATGAATTTCACCCGTAGCGGGAGACGAGACTTTGGAAATCGTTACCTTTAAGGTTTAATCGTTTGATTTATTGTCTGGATATACACAAGTCTCATATCTACTTACATATGCCTATTTGTATTTATTTTTGATTTTGCAAATTGAACAGCCCACACGAAATACACGCTCAACACACGTTTAATCGTCTTTATCATCGTTTGTCTTTATATCCTTTAGCTTAATTCACTCCGGGTTTCGGATGCTAATTATTGCAAATTAATTGCCATTGGCAATTGTTGTCGAACGCCTCCATACTTCCTTAGTCGTAATTTATTAAGTCATTATTTAAACTTGCATTTAACGCTACTTTAGATTTTATTGTACTTTAGATTAAGTGGCTTTTTTTTTGCCAATTAACATATTATAGTCGTAATGGAATGGTTCATTTTATTCTCTCTCCTGTCGTTAAAGCGGCTCGTGCGAAACGTTGACCTTTGAAAATGAGCAAACTGCAATGACAAATAAGTCAGAGCTGAACGAGAGGCGCAGACACGTTACATGCAACAGTTAGCCTTCGAAACCGTTATACTTTTTAATCAAGCTTGCACTTACATGTGGTGTTTCATCCCTTATTCATTTCACCCTACACTGTCTCCACCCAACCATCCTCTATCTATCTATCTATCTACGCTCGCACGCACGCACGCGCGCGCACACACGCGCGCACACAAACACACACACACACACACACACACACACACATATATATATGTGTGTGCGCGTGTGTGTGTATGTGTGCGTGTGCGTGTGTGTGTGAGGCGCATAAGCGCGATTTGCAGAAGGTGCCGCCTGTAGGGTGGGTAGACCTTTGCAAAGTCGCGACGGAAAGCTACGATCCACGCATCCTTTTGCACATCCGAATAAATAGCAAATACGAGTAGTGATCAAACGCCAGGCGACTTATTCAACAACTGTGGTCTTTTTTTTTCCTCGTACTTTTGCAGACCAGCCTCATGGGCAGCTCTCCCTTCCGGGAGCGTCTCGGAAGTAACCGCCTGCCTGAGAAGCCGCGACCAAGGTTTGATATTGCACTGACCATTAACGGTAGAACAATATTAGCCATCTGTAACAAATCTTTAATTGAATTTGATGTGTCCGCTCGCTTATGCCTATTTACCTCGCCTTTCGCCTTCTCTTCTTGCATTATCCTGGCTCGCCGAGTTCTCTCATAGCGTTGCAGCTGTCACGGAAAGGAAAGCGAAAATACTGATGCCACGTGTTCACGAATCCAAGATCCCGAGACTCGCGTTTCTGTACCGATCGGCTTAAACTTTGTTTTACGGGATATCGAGGTTGAGTTCGGACTTTCTTTTTTTTTAATGTTTTTTTGTGTGTTTTTTTTTTTTTTTTTTTTTTTTTTTTTTTTTTTTTTTTATCTTTAAGCACGTTCGCTCGCTAGTCGCAAGCCTAGTGGTTTATTAATCGACGTTCGAAATAGCGTTTAATGCTTCTTATTAACATTTTCTATTTGGCATTTAATGCCACGGGCATTTAAACGAAACATCAGTATTTTAATTTTCATTGAGTGACGCGTAGAGTATTGTTTGTTTAATAATATTCACTTAGCAAAATTATTCTCTTGTTTGTTAGCGACCTATTATCGTAGATTTTATCTGATATATCAATTATTTATGTGAGACGTACGATTCTTAATGAGCATCAAACGTTTTTTTTTCTTCTTTTTTCTTTTTTTTTTTTTACGTAAATTTCTTTAATACAAATTGTGCCCTAGAAATAACATTTATGTCTTTTGAAACAATAATAATTAAGCATGTTCCTCTTGTTCTAAATGTCAATAATGAGCAATAATAATTAAGCATGTTACTTTTATTAATGTGCTGTGTAAAAAATGCGAGTGAAATTTCTTAAAAAAATATTTGCTGAAATGTATTAAATTACGTTTGATCGATAACTTTTCTCACCAATGCTTTACGCGAAGTACCAAATATTTATGAAAGATTGTTTCGAATAATATAAGCTTTCTTATTCACAAAACATACCAACACGGTGAATATTATTTATCTTATCTTTATTCTATTTATTTGTAAAATTACACCTTAGGTTGCTGACTGTCATTGGAATTTTCTGTATTTCTCTTAGTATGCAGGATATTGGGTTTACTTTCTATTGGTTACCAGCCGTCATTATCCATCATAGCGTAAATTTATTAATGCATGAATGTGTAAGATATTAAAGAGTAATGGTGTTTCAGCCAAAGGAAAAAGTACAATTTGCGTAAATTGTTTATTACTTAAGTGAAATTAATATCCATTGTTGGGCAGTAAAAAGCCTCGCTGGGAAAATTAAAAATAAATAAAATTTTCGCACATTGGCGAAAAAAAAAAAAAAAAAAAAAAAAAATTAAATAAATAAAAAAGAAAATAGACAATTTTATTGATTGGAAATGTCTTTTAATACTATTTCATCGTTCGATAAATACTTTTCTTTGACTAATTTACCAAATATTCCGATAACTTTGCTCTATGAAAAAGAAACAGAAAACTATGAAGAGGCAATAATAATATAAGCGGTATCTTCATTTTTCTACGGATAATTTGAAAGATATTCGTGTGCCATAATGTTTATGTACAATGAATGTCAAGACTTTTTCCTCGATGTCAATGCGTTTAATATCAAATTACTAATAAATTAAAACTTTACATTCATCAATTAGTAATAACAACGACTCTCTAATTTTTTTGCATTTTTGTTTCTCCTGTATATCTTTGTTATACCGTATCATTTTCCATGAAGGTTGTGCGTGAGAGAGTGACGGGGTTCTTTGTACAGGAAAAGCACGTAGTGAATACATCTGCGGCTAGTCGCACGTCCCTCGACACTCCTCGCCACATACCAAGCAGGTTTGTCTCCTTTTATTTCTTTTTTTCTTGCGGAAAATATTGATAATACCTAGCACAAGTTTGACTGTTAGTCCAGATACATTTTAAATAAGCAAGCAAACCAATTTTGCAATTAAAAGTAAAATGATTTAACATGCATTTAACGAGCTTAATTGCTTCCGACACTCGGCTCAAATGTTAAAACGAAGCTTTAAATTTAATCATTTTTACAGACATTTGCTCTATACCAATTGTGAGTTGTAAAATAATATCTTTTGTTCAATAGATTAATTGGTAATTATTTATCTTATCTCACCAGAATTTTTGATGATCCATCTGTTACATTATTTAAATAATTTGATTTGTTAATTGTTAAACGATCCAATTGCGCAGATGGTTTTTTTTTTTTTTTTTTTTTTTTTTTTTTTTTTTTTTTTCAAAGCTCAAAAATGATTAGCTTGTCATACTATATTTATTAGTGGTTCATTAGTTGTAGAATTGTGCACGTATTTTTATATTACAATAGTGTAAGTATTTGTAGATGTTGATAATTATTATTTATGCATTATGCAAATATTTCTTGATTGGATTTTATTTACGAATTATTAAAATATACAGAGTTTTTTTTTTGTTTTTGTTTTACCTTAATCAAATGACTGTCGTTTATTATTAGCATAATGGTTGTATAGTGTAATTTGTCATTTTTATGAAAAACAAAACCGATAAAAAATAGTATTTAAGCGAATGAGAAACATAATAAAATTTCGGCACATTCATATATATTCTTAATATAATTATTATCTCAAATCATATAAAAGAAATATTTAATAACAGATACAAGCAGTTTATTCTTATTTTTAGATATTCATTTAATGGTTTGTTTTCGACTAACAAGGAATTAATAGGTAGCGCTCTTTGTCACAATATTTTCGCATGTAAAAGAAAGAAACGACGATATTTTCCAATCGCAATTTTATCTCAACTCATGGTGCTATTACACTTATCTTACCAGAAAATAAAAGATTTAATTATGACCTATTGGCCTCTATTGTTACTATCTCAATTATGCATGGACCGACTCATACATGCACACACGTACTTAAAACAATTTGGACATGCAGTAGAGCACTCGCTTCTTTCTTGCGCACAGCCATAAATAATGTAGCACGCTTAATGTCTAAGGACTAGTTTGTGTAGTATGTACAGTTCACACGCGCTCGACTACCTCCCCCCCTCCCATTTATTTAATGATCATTGTTCCGGTCGGCAGATCTGGCTCGAAGGTGATGGACCGTGGCAGAGTATCACCGGCGAGCGACGCCGTCATTCCCTTGTCGATTGAACAGCACCAGATGCCACTACTACAGCAGCAACAACAGCAGCAGCAGCAACAACAACAACAGCAACAACAACAACAACAACAGTTACAGCTACAACAACAGCAACAGTTACAGCTACAACAACAACAGCAGCAGCAAATGCAGCAGCAACTACAGCAATTGCAACAACAGGATCACTTGGAGATCAATGATGAAAAGTAATTTAATTTTCATTTCTACGATTCTTTCTTTCATTTTTTCATCCTCATTTATATATATTATTTATATAGCACAGTCGTTTCACATTTGCGGCTGTATAGCGTTAATTAACATGCGTTTGTCATTGCGTATTGCAGTTTTGCGACGGAGGTGACGAAGATAAGGAGCAGCGCCCCATTCACGGAGATACTCGAGGCCATGAAGCATCCTCAGACTGGAGTCGGTTTCCTTACGCAGCATCCGTCGCTGCCCAGTCAGACCTTCGTCAGCGCGGACGCTGTCCAATGGCTCAATAGTCATATCGAGGGTGGTGTATCCGTCGAAGGGGCCATTAATATAATGAAGGTCGGATTATCTCTGATGGAGCTTATATGAACGATAAGCCCGAGTTCTCTAATGCATCTAACGCTTCACGCTTATTTTTAATGAATTTGCATCCTCGGTCTCCGGGTCTCCTCGTTTCATATTCACTGCTCGGTCATTTTCGTTAATGCATTAATTTTTGTGCGCACAGCTGGTGAAATGGCAATTTCATATCGATGCACGATGAGATGGTCGTTCATTCGAAAACTATTTACGCTTTAATCAGCGAGTGAGAGACTAATTATACGCGTATGCTCAATAAGCTGGCGAAAATTGAATTTTTTTTATTTATATAATGTCTTGCGAACTGGATAATTCATTTAGTAATATAGCTTTTGCATATTGCTATTATAGGGAATGATTCAAGAAAAACTTATTTCTCATGCATCCGGCGATTTCTCCAAGTCATTTATTCTGGGATTTTATCTGTACCATATCGTTCAAGAGAAAGACTGCCAAAAAGGTAATTATCGTTACGGATCTTTATTGTCGCCATTTTTAAACTGTAATAACAATTTCGTTCATTCGCTTAATAATTTAATAACAATAACGATCATTAACTCGCTGAAATACAGAATAATATTGACATTTTATATCATATTACTTTAATAGTGAATGCTTCGAAGAGCTTCGGGATTCTGTAATTAATTTTCAGCCTAAATAACTAATTATCTCTCGTTATTATTATTATTGACAAATCAGGCAGCGAATATTCTCCACCACTGGGAGATCTGCAAAGCTTTGAAAATGAGTGGGTGGAGGTGGAGATGAGAGCTCCGAAGGGCTGGTGCGAGCCTCAATCAAATTTCAATTCGGCCAATCTTCTATCCAATATATCTCATCCTATATCGATTCCTAGCTGTGATACTATTGACGAATCGGATGTTCCTATTTTCCTTAGAAACGACGTAGATTTATCGGATGTCACCGACGAAAGAGACTGGACAAGTACGTAACTTATCTCCTTAGCACAAGCATTAAAAAAAAAAAAAAAAAAAAAAAAAAAAAAAAAAAAAACACACACACACCCACACATCGCCGCGTTTTAAATGTTATATATTTATTATCAAAAATATTTCTAATACATTAGTTGCCAAGCATAATTCATTGTATCGTTAATATTCACTATTGGGCAGCTATTTCTAGCTCTACTCAATCATAAATCAGTCGTAAATCAATTTTTATTATATTATTAAAGCGTCGGTTCGTTCTCGCATATTCCTTGCCCATTTCATCTGCTTTTGTTGCAGTACCGATGTACAAACACACGCACCTCGACATCGACATTAATAATAAGAGCGACCGTATAGAGTGGGGACACCTGAGGTACCAATCAATTTTCAAACCCGAACATTCGTACGAATTGGTCGTCCAATGGGTGGCTGCCTCGGGTAGCATCGTTGCCGATCTCGTAAGTAATTTGCGACACACCTCCCCCATCATTTTTATCAAATCTCATCCAGTATTTTCCTTAGATATTTATTTGGCAGCGGAAAGCGCAGTTGTGCGGAATCCAAATGATACCAATTCCCAGCGATTTGCTTGCTTTGCCGTTTACCGCGAAAAGCGATCCTTTACGCGGACCAATATTTATCCCTTTAGACACCGAATGCCTACTGGACGGTAAAACATATCTCTTTGAAGGTACGGCTACGTCATTCGCTCACTCGCTTTCATAATTAACAAGTAGATCGATCATAAAAATGCGGCGTCACTCCTACGGCGACGCTTAAGCGCGAATGGCTTATTAAGAAAAATGCGCGCAAGGGACGTAGTGCGCCCGCGGGAGATTTCGCTTTGCTAATGTCATCTTTTAACCATTACGAACGACGAGTAGAGTTCCGGGAGGACACGTATGCCCAGCGGCTCTTCCTCTTCCAAGAGGCGATACTGCAGCGCTTCGGATTCCTGCGATGCCTCGTCGAGGGCAACGAGAACGCGCACCAGTACGTCCACGTGACCGGCAATGCCTTCATCCTCGTGCCCTCAACGATCAATCCGCGCCCGCGACAGTACACCGGCACGAGTACAACGAGGCGCAGCGTAGGCCAAAAGCGCTACCCGGTGCACGCGGAGCAGCCCAGTCCTCACGAGGCCTACATCACGCGACACGTCAGTGGCAAAAACAAGGACGATTACAACATGGATAGACGGGTGAGTGGCTTATATTTGCGTTTACCTCTACGTCGCGAGCTCCGGAATATCTATGCTCATAAGGTGTCGATTAACAATATACGTCTAGCATGATACTTTCGCGAAAATCTCATTAGTGTTGTAATAGTCGTGGAGTAATTTGAGATTTGTTGAGTGGAGCGCTGGAGAGGGTAAGGACAATTTCGTTTTATATTTACTTATGTGCTATGTATGTATCGATGTACTTATGTGGCAATGTCAATGTTTTCGTGCCGATCGCTCGGGCAAATATAAACAATTGGCGATACGATAATTAACTCGAGAACAATAGTTTAAATAGTTTAAATAACCGAGGGATTGAATTATCGTTACATAAAGAAATTTAAACGATGACATACGGTTCTCTGAATTTCTCTGAATAAAAAAACTTGCGCGCTTTTTCTTCAGCCATCGCAATTAATATTTTTATTTAATCACGTTTTTCAAGTTTTTTTTTTTAACTTGAATCGGCATTTAACATTTTCCTCGAATGTTCCCTAATAATTTATATATAATTATTAATCGTTACTATTAGCCTACGTAATAAATACATAATTCATTTTGGCGAAGATAAACATTTTATATCCACTTGATGTTGTTTTTTATGTTAGATGGGATTTCTGTGGTCGTGGAATCATATGTTAAGTCGAAAGTGGAAGTATCCAGCGACAAGCACGGGCGATGAGCTTTTTCAGAAAAAGATTATTCAAGATTTCCGACACTTCTGCTCGAATGGGGACAATCGTTTGAGAAAGTTTTGGGAATCGTGCTGGGAACTTAAAGAAAAGTTTTGTACAAATACAAAGTGATACGTGGATCGTGTCCTGTTTATTTATATACACGGTGCCACACTTTTCTAGTCTATTGCTTTGGAGATTAAGCTATGTGAAATGTGAATAGTATGGGCACGCGTTAACACGATGAATACGAATTGTCATTCATCAAACACAGGATTCTAAACTATTCGACTGTCTTACATTTTTACTATGGGGTTACTGTACATTTTATGCGCCTATTTTTAAATAAATTACGACAATTAGATGTTGTTATTTTTATTAGAAAACATTGTTCATATTTTGTACACACTGAAACTAGTAGTACTAGCTATTAAGTCTTGTTTATATCATACTTCAGTCAATACATTTAAAATGATGTAATAACAACAAATGTTTTGTATCGCAAATATACAATATAATCAAATAATAAAGTCTATCTCGCACATATCGTAAGTTTTCTTACTTTGAAAATCGCATTATAAATAATTATAAACAGGAGGTTTATATTAACATTATTAATATCAATGTATTATCAACTAAAATGTGTTTACAGAGAAAATACATATTTATACATCCAGTAAGTAAAAATAATTTTATATCTAATTACAATCAATTTTGTCAATAAATTTGTTTTGATGGTGGAGTTGCAAAATATTTTCGATTCTTCCTCATGAACGATTTTCTGGAAAAAAAAAAAAAAAAATCAATGAGCGAAACTTTTCAGCGAAAAATGAACATTAAATAAATATTTAATCTTGTTTCAACTTACGACGAGCTAAGTGGAGTATGAAAGAATCCTCGCGAAGCATTACGCTTTAACAAGGATTCCGTGGATGGTGTATGTCTTAGTTCCGAATGCTTTGGTGTACCGATATCACTCAGATGCTCAGGATTGACAAAGTTTGCCCAATAATCCGATGGTATCCTCAGTAAATTTTCAACAATCTATAATAACAACATACAGTGAATTACAGTGCGATTATTATAATAATTATATATATATATATATATATATATATATATATATACTGCAGTGCGATGTTTGATTAGTATAAAAGGGTATGTAAATAAAAGAACAGATTTTTAATGACTAAAGTTTTAGCGAGAATGATAAAATGCATGATTGGAAACAATCGATGATGATGATGATTAAATAGAAAAGGGAATTCGAGCATTGTGTCTCTATGACTCATAAATACAACTTACGGCTACTTGATTTTTCGTTTCTGCAAGCATTGACGAAGGTGATGGATGTTGACAGCTGTATCCAACCAAAGTAGGTCCGAAAACCTTGGCGAGATTGGTGATGGGCATTTTGCATTCTGGGGTGCTGGAGACTCTCTGCAAATGCAATATTAGAAAGGCGAGTGTATCTCGATTGGGCTGCGGTAATTCCGAGATAGCCTGATACAATGCCGCGTCGGCATCCTGCTTATCTGCGATGAAAGTCGCTCGGGCAAAATCAGCCCAAAGGCCGACGGTAATAAGTGGCTCCTTTAAGGTGCGTAAAAAGTCCTTGAGAGTCGAGCAGATCGTGGTGACGTCAACTTCCGATAAGTTTGGCGCACCTCGACCTTTCAGAAATTTCTCTTTCAGACATTTGACCTCGGCCATGCCGCCGTTAACGCGGTACAGGCCCTGTTCCATCATGCCTCGGAGCTCGACTTCGTTTATGCAGTGTACGACGAGGGATGGCACCATTGGTGGGATTATTGGTGTGTAATCAGCTATTGTTCCCTGATTCGAACAATGATTTATGAGAATGGTAATTTTGCGTTTAATAAAAAAAACTTGTAGAAATAGATAAAAATTCAATATCAATCCGTATATATCTTTTCGTAAGCTTAAAAGTCAGCTCATAACCAAGATATAAATAATTAATATAATTTTTTCCCTAACCAAAAGTTAACAACCCATAGCGTACGAATTTGTACTATTAATAATATTAATATTATTATTGTTATTATTATTATTGTCATTGTTGTTATTATTATTATCGTATACCAAATAATTCTTACCGATATTCCGCGAAGAGTGGGCGTATTTCCTGTAGGAATGCATGGAAGTGGCAGAAGATGTTTACATTCTAAATGACTTACTGCCCTGCAATCTTTACATTTAATGGCGGCTTTACCAAAGCGTAACCTATCATTACAAAAACGTAATACTATAAATTATTATAATTGTTCGTGAGATTATACATACGGCTTTAAATTTGAATATTACCTTTTACCACATGGGATGCAGATTTCGGGTTTTATAACGGTCTTTCCAATAAAACTATGAGTTCTTGAAGATTTAGAATTTATTGTATAGCCACCAATATTTGGACTAGGCTTAAATACATTTTCAGAATCAGAATTAGACGACACTGTCTCTGCTTTTGGCGCTGATGGCTGAAATATTTAACAAAATGCAATAAGACAGATGAATTTTTAACTTTATAAAACGAAACGAATTCACGAAATGACAAAAAACTTTATTTTTTAAATATTACCTCTACATACAATTACATTATAACGAGCATCATAAAATTTACAATTCAATTGTAAATTTCGTGGATTCCATAATTTACTTAAAATTAACGAAAGTTTTTCCTTTTGTCTAATTTTTTAAATTATGAACGGCGAATTAAAGAAATAAGTTATTGCATCGACAGTTATAAAAAAAAGAGTGAAAAGTTCCAATCATCTTACAGTGGGTGTTACATCTTGGCTCTTCGATTTACTGTTGCGTTCGCCGCTCTTTCGCCTTTTACGAGAGCTGCTTTGTACCGAGGAATTTTGCTGAGGATCTTTATTTTCATCTGCAGGTATGGTTTCGATAACTGACGAAGCGGTTATCGTGCCCTCCTTTGGCATCACTACCGTCGTCGTCGCCACTATCCTGTCTGAGTTGTTCAGTTCGACGGTTTTCTGCAAGGCACTGCGGCGTTTCTTTTTAATCACATATTCTCCACTAGGTCGATGTTCCTTCCATTCCCGCTTTTTCTGATTCTGTTGGAGTATAATGCTCGTATCCAGATCGTCCTCGGATTTGGAGAAGCAGCTAAGGTCGCTCAGCAGCGAACCAGTGGAGTCCAGCTCCGTTATTGTATTTAGTCTTGATGAGGAGTGCAAGAAAGATGATGGGCATGAACGATTGAATAGACGTAAATAAGTAATTTTTAAATTTTGATTGAAATTGATGTATATATTATTTGAAAAGTACATCAACAATTTTCATAAGCAATAAAGAAGTTTCTTCTAAAACAATTACGAAAAATCACGGTACCTATAACTATATCGAGTATAGATGATTCTACAATTTTTTACTTTGCTTAAAAAGAATCATCATAGAAAGAAAAATAAAATTTTTTCCATATCAACATTACAAAAGAAAAGCAGGCACATAAAAAAATTAATACATTAATTAATGTCCTTTCAAATTGACTAATTCCTTTTTGTGTTTAGTAATTTAAGCAAATTCTTATTATTTTATGAGTGCAGATTATTCATGCATAATTTAAAACTTATTACTTGTCTTGAAGTGGATCTTTTGAGTGGATTGAATTATGTCGCCCATTGAGAGTTGTGTTATTTAGAAATTGCAGCTTTTCTCTAGTTTCATCATTTAGATTTCTACCTCCATCGTTTAATAACAGATCTCTGACTAATGTAATCTGTCGCTCCTAAAATACCACATCAAACAAAGTTTTGGAAAAATATCATTTTAAAAGTTAAAAACTTTCTTCTATTAATTTAATATATTTATTATAAGTGTGTAGAAATAATAAAAATATAATTTCATTTTCTTACGAATAGAAATTTAAAATTGCTAGTTCATAGTTAAAAAAAAAAATCTCACTATCAAATAGATACATCTTGATGCATTAAAACTTAATAATATTTAATTGCGATGTTATTAACATCAATAAAAAATGTAAAATATTTATTACACAATACTTAGAATCTCCCAATTATTACTTAAAATTAGTACATATACAGTGAAACTGTGCAAAGTATATAAGTAATATGGAGACAATTGTCTTTCATTAAAAATAATCTTATAATGGCTTTATCGAGCTTCGTGCCAGAAATAATTAAACAAATAAAATATACTTTTCTTGAAATTTTATAAAACTATTCCTTTAGCATAGCATATACTTTTAATATAATTAAATTCAATACCAAGTCTTGAGATATGTAATACAATGCATTTAGCCAATACCACAAGACTAGACATATGTACAAGATATATAATAAAATTGATAAAAATATACATTGCTACATCCTTACACATGAATTACGTTGCTCTTCCGCAAGCCTCCTTCTTCTCTTCTCCTCATCCAACAATCTTCTGGCATGACTAAGTTTACGATCCAAATCAGCTGCTTCGTGATGAGCCTTTTCTAAAGTCGAGTGTAAGCGCTGACATTCTTGTACAGAAGCCAGCCATTTTTGTCTCATTTCTTCTTGATTAATAGCAAACTGAAGGAATTCTATGAAAAAAAAAAAAAGCATATCAAACATTAATTACCATAGAGTACTCCTAATAGCTTAAAAGTACAGCATAAAATTTTATTTGATTTATCATATTAATCATATTAAACGTGATTCGAATTTTGTTTTGTTTCGGGTTATATAATTTCGTATAAAAAACAGCATGAACTGTTTGCAATATTTTAGTTAGTCCTCCTAAAATAAATTCCTGCTAAAACTGTAATCGAAGGTAGGATTATCGTAACCATCGTTACATTGTAAACTTTATCATTTTCCTCCCAAATAACACCGAGACATTAAGCAAAAGCCACGAGTTTACGGATTCCTATGAAAACCGAGTCTTTCCTAGAAATTGCATGAAATGTGGAAAAAGAACGGCAATAGAAGATACAGTGTAACGCTAACCTCCTTCGCAAGAACCGTTGACAAGGACATTCGTGCAGCGTACGAGCTCGTCGTGGCTCGCTAAAATCGACAGAGACGTTGACATCCTCGTCGTCGCGTCCTTCGCTTAACCAACTATTTCAAAACTTACTTTAATCACGTTTACCCTTCGCATTAAAATGCCGACAACAATCGTTTCGCGCTCTCGCGTCTCGCCGAATTGAAAAACATCCGTTGTGACAGGGACAACGCTACCAACGAACGTTTGCGCGAGAGAATCTCACCCGACATTCGAATCGCACCAATCGCCACGACTTTCCGTTACGTCCCAAACGCTTTCAATTATGCGCAAACTCCGGGCGACGTTAATTTGCTCGATTTCAGCGGCTCTTTCGAACTTTTTCTCACGCCCCGTGCCACGTTGAATAGCCAATACTCGCGGGGCTCCCTCAACTCGCCGATGTACTTGGCATTGGCAATTATTTATGAATTACCGGATGGATAAGTATTGTGTAATTCGCGAGAAGTCAATGGCAGCTCGATTTCAATATGTAGCGTATCAATTTTGACATAATGACGCAAGCTCGTATCGATTAATCCTAATTGATCGCCAATTGACACTATCGATTAGTTGCGTTTCATTATAAAATTTTGAAGATCACGATATCGTCGGTCAAGCGTGAAACGCGCATTTTCTGCCGATCAACAATCGACGCACCAATTGCAATAATAACAGAGACAGCTAGGAATAAAAATCTTATTTTTATATATCGACATTGTACGGCACGTCGTTGTTGTTTACATACTAAATTATTGCTTCAACTTGACTCATATCAACTTATTCTTTTCCCTCCCACCCAACGCGATAACATTTATTTATACTGGACCACTGGATCTTATATTATTATTAGGAATGGACGATCGAACGCAATATTATACGCTAATCGCAAGGTTTAGCATAGAATGCGAGTCGGGCGATTATCATGGAAAATTTGCCTAATATTAGAATTAAAATCGACGTAATGGGTGCGCCGCGTAGTCGTTGTTCGTCGATGCCCACAACGCTGCCTCGAACCCCTTCGACGTCCAGTCGCAATAAACGAAGATGAAATCCGTTTCCGTGCTTGCGATTATTTATTAGTCCCACAGTGAACAAAACACGACGTTCGCCTAGACGTTCGAAGGCATCGGTTCCCCTACTTTCATCACTTTGATTAAAAAGTGGCGGGCGCACGACGACGCAGTACGCAGGTCCGAAATATCGTCTCTGGGCGCAGTGCTGCCAACGTAGTATTGTCGTGCCAGCACTGGGGAAGCTCTATAGATTGAGTCTGGCGCAGTTGTTGGATCGTCGCGTCGCGGTGCAACTGGTTGGTGGTGGTACGTACGCTACGGGAGTAGAACGGAAAATAATGAGCGTGGCTATGAGCTCATCGCCTGTAGGTTCGTATATTGCAATTATTTATTTGGCCAGATTAATTCTGTTGCTCGCAATTACAGGGAATAATGAAAGTAAAGAGCCAGATAATTAGGTACTCTGGTGCACTTGGCGATTGCATATTTAGGGAAAATGCGCGCTCTTTGATGGTGTTTAGGAACCCTTAACGCCTTAACTTTAACGTGTTGGTATAAAAGAAACGTGACCGAACGTAAGACTTTCGAGCGTTCATTGAATGGGAGAGAAAAAAATTAACGGTGGAAAACAAAAGAAGAAAAAATTTTACGATAAAAATGGAGAGAGAGAGATAGATAGATAGAGAGAGAGAGATAGATAGATAGAGATAGAGAGTGTGTGAAAAGAGAGAGAGAGAGAGAGAGAGAGAGAGAGAGAAAAAAAGAGAAAGCCGTTAGGAAAATTGTGCACTTTTCGGGGTACTCTGCTTTATTGGAAATAAGAAGCGCGAGGATCGTTGCCTTCTTAATCGCGTAACAGTGATTTTGTATTGCCGTTTTATGGTGTAGCTATTGTGTAAAATAGTACGCAACGGTGCACTTATGGAGTTTGTTACATTTGCAGAGGATGAAAGACGAGGTGATAATATTAAAAAGGCGAGATATTCATGGTACGTTACTTTGGAGAGCGAATCTCCGACACCCACCGATGAAGACGAGGAGTCCGTTTATACTGTACAAGGCAATGAGACAGGTAACTACGATACGTTTTATTATTATATTGTTTTAATAAGTGTAGTATGGTTAATGTCAATAATACTGCTTCACTGGCCTTTAAATAGGATTAATAATAGTCTCTTGATTAACTTACGTTTAGAGTAAATAGACATCTAATGGATTTGCATCATTTTTGAATTATAATATTAATGCATGAATTTATTTGGAGAGAAAATTTTATTGTATACTTACGCACTTCAAAATAATTAATGAAACAAATATTTTGCATTCTAGAATTTGCACGTGACACTTCGGACACATCGACAACCCACACTTGGATCAGCAGTAACGAAAGCGACGCCTCCGTTAATATAGAATACGAATTAGATTCGCAGCCGGAAAATGAAAATCCATTCACAGCAATATCTTCATCGTCGGAGCCTGAGGTATTCGTCGATTATGTCATTTACATACAATCGATTAGCGTTACATATAATAGATGATATCTAATTTTTCGATTTGCTTTCAGAATAATTTGGCAGTCGAATTTATAACATTCTGTGACTCTGATGGTTTAGCCGATGGTAGCGACGACTCAACAAGTTCCATTGACAGTGAAATTAAGAAAGTAGATTTTTGGACTTGCGTATTATGCAAAAATCCAAATAACAATCCTATGTTTCGTTACTGTGAAAAGTGTTATCAGGTAAATTAATTTATTTCTTTTTTTAACACATATTTCCATAACGCTTGCATACACTGAAAACTAAACAAAATATAATATTTAATTTATGCCAATGAGAGAAATAAATTTTATAAAATGTGAATACCCTATAATATTGTCTGGTAAATGTAATTGAAATCAAAATACTGTCCATATTTTGTGAATGTTCAACACAGAAATTACAATACATTCAATATAAAATTTTTGCATTATTTACTACTTTTACTGGAAAATTCAAATAAAAATAATATTCTTATTGGTTATATCATTTTTGAATATTAAATGATTTCATAATAAAATGATGATTAAAAGTTCAAACAGTAAAGAAATGAAAATATAATTTTTTATAGTTAAATTTTATATTTTACAAATTATAGAAGAAATTGAAACATACTTTTATATCTTCGAGTATAAACTTACTAATAATAGTTCTAGATTTCTTTTAATAAGCATTACCCATTAGATAAATAATTTTGACTTTTAAACATATTAAGCTTTATATAATTATAAAATATCTACTATGTACCTTATAACTACTACAATCAGCATGAAACATTAAAAATATTTTATCTGTTACTTTATTTTAAAAAATCAAAACACCTTTTATCCGGCGTACCGTTAACATGCGATTATACAGAGCTTAAACAAATCGAGTTTGATCGTTAAAAACGAAATTTTTGAATTGTTATAATATTTTATTATTTGAACCTGTGCTACGATTAAACACAGTAGTATTACTAATTTTATAATTAGAAATGCTGGTTAATGAAATGTTCTTACAATGATATTATCTATGTATTTGATTAAATATTTAATTAGTCATATTTAAAAGAGTTATAATTTATCAATTTATTTAATAGTCATAGGAATTTAAAAAATATTCTAAATCGATAATCTTTATAATATCAACAGACAAGAGAATTCGTTTATATAAAAAATAATTAAATTTTGATGTCAAAGTTTGTATTATAAAACTAAGCATTACCATTGTATTACAATTTTGTTGTAATAATTAGATTAAATAATTAGATGGCATTTGAGATACATTTGTTATATTTAGATATCACAATACTTTTCTAGACTTTTTTTTTTTTTAATTTTTATTTAAAACAAATAGGGAAACGTATTACTATATTATTTACTTATTCGAAGTAAGAATGTAGTTTCATTTCAGAAATTATGAAAACTCTGGTTATTAAATAATCAAACAGCTGGCACAAAATTTGGTGCAAATAAAATTATTTTAAAATAGATTTTAAGTTTCTTTTATCTCCATGTATTTTTCAATATTTTATTTATAAGTAAATTGAAATTATAATAATTATTTAATAATTACATACTATTAAAGTAATTGCTTGTAATATCACAATAAAAGGTAGACGTGGGAAGTACAATATATGAATAATAATAATATAAATACTATTTTAATAAAAACTATATAGTATACACGCACAATTAACTATGATTTTTTATGATATTTTGTTACATTTTATACACTGCTCTTTAATATATTACCATTGACCTTATGAAAAAGAAATCCTATCAGTCAAGTACATATTTAATTAAATTATGAAATAACTTTTGCCTTTCTATTATATCATTTAATTTGAAATGAATATTATTTTTTGGTTTTTGCAAAGTTTTTTGGTTGAATTTTAATGCCTTTGTAAAGTTATTGATTAACACATACTTTTTCAATATTTATAATAATAATAATAATAATATTTGAAATGAAATCATAAGTAGATAATAATTACTGAGCGCAATTATTAACTTGTTATTAACGATTAGTTAGTTTTCTTATTATTTCACTATTATTTTTAAGAAAATATTAAGAAATAAGAATTTAAAATTGTATCAAACATCTTAACGAATGATAATTTTTTATAAATTGTTTTGCTCCAAGTTTTTATGAAAAATTCCAATTAATTAGCAACTATTTATATCTATTCACTGTATGAATAATTAGAAATAAAAATTAAAATTTTATTTATTAAAAGTCTAAGAAATATTTAAAATATTGAAATTGTTGTTCAATTATATATGTCAGAAATAATTATAGACACTGTTTCTTAATACTTCTTAATATGTTGTTTGTATTAATAATTACTTTTATATAATGGAATTTATAGTTTATGAATAACTGTACTACTAATATCTGGTCAAATGACTTTTTGAAATTTTTTGAAAAAATTGATTATCAAAACATTGTAATGCTGAATTTATTAAAATTAAATAATTTATCAGAATTTGTCATCATTAAAATTTCACATAGTAGAAAATATATTCATTCTAAAGTTGTTAGATAAAGAAAATTCAATGACCTTAAACCTCATACGTAACTTTCAGGATATATCACGTGTTTCATTGTAGGCAGAGATTAATTAATACCTTATAAATTCATAGGACTAAAATATTACGACCTTAATTTTGTTTTTGACTTTGGAATTTACGTTATTAACGAGTAATACCGAAGTAATAACGAGTCCACTCGATAAAGATCGCTTCATCTCGTTGAAATATCGATGGTTTCGCACATTTCACTTTAATTATTTCAATTAACCTTGTATTATCCATAAGGTCTATAAATATGAAAAAAAAAAAAAAAAAAAAAATAAGTAGCCCTTATTACGAATTGTCGATAAAAAAATAATTAGTCATTTTATAAATAAAATACTATTATAATTTAGACCGAGAAATGAAAGATAATTTCGTCAGCAATTTATGACGAAATAGTAAAAATAATTGCGATCACACCTGTTTTATTTTGAAATTTCAAAATTATATTCGCAAGAGCCGATGAAGTTTTCGTGCAACAATACTCATTTTTTGTAAAACAAGATTTTTCCATTAAGCAGAAAATGCAGATTTATATGTCTTTGAAGAGAATTATCGTGTCACTTACACCGGTACACATTGATTAGAAAATTCGGTAAAAATTATTGCAAAATATACTTATTTAATATCAATAAATCCCAATGTTTAATAAATTTCACTCACCCGTGCTTTACGTATAAGCCACCTCCGCTTGATTCAGGTTCGAACATGTTCGAAACGTCAGCGATACTATTGGTTCGAGGAAAAAAGAAAAAAAGAAAGTACCGGGTGGCGGGGGTATTTCGAAATGCGCTTCTACAAATGAATTAAACAATGAATAAATGTCTGGCGATCGTAGCTGAGGAAGACGAATTTTATGGGCAACCGTCCGAGACGGAAACGTCGAGCGCAGAAGGACCAGGGCAAGACGCTCCGGACGACGGTTGATGCCGCTTTGGCCCAGGAGCTCTGCGACATGGACTCGGGCATAGCGTCTAGTCAGGATTTGGAGAGGGCGCCATCTGACTTCCGCGGCGGCAAGCCGACGTCTTTCGAGCCGCAGAGCCGCGACCTCACCACCATGATATTCGGGGCGAATCGCCGGGGAATAAAGACCGAGTCGACGGCTCCGACGTTATCAGCCGTCGTCATGGCCCAGCCGATGGACAGAGACGAGGTCGACTCGATATTGCCCCCCAAGCAGTACAGTATCCCCGGGCATCATCCTTACCCCTCGGACTCAGTGAGTACATTGGCATCCGAACACCAGCGTGATCGCATGACTTTAATCGCTAGGACAATTGGATGGTTGCGAGCGACGCGGGAGGGTGGGAGGGGATGGACAAAAGTCTCGTTTACCGTATACGTTCTAGTTATTTTCAGTTTCGCGTTATCATCTGTGAGTAATAATAGGCCCGTCATCGGCAAAAGGGACAATATATTGTCTTGAATTAATTATTCCATTTATTGTGAACATTAACGTAATTAATATGCGCGTGAATAATTGCCTGCGCGTAAGATTTTTATTTCATAAGCATTAAATTACTTATCTTCATGCTAATTTGATAGTCGTTTTACAACTATTATCTCTTCAGGTAAATTGCAAATTCCCATTTTACAATGAAAATTGCGCATTTTTCTCCTTTTCTTCAATTTTTTTTTTGTGCTTCTATTTCTGGCTATTTATTTATTTATTTATTACAATGCACAAATGCAACTTGAAACTTTTAAAGTTCATCACGAATACATCTACAGTAATATTTTGTTTGCTCTTTTTACGTATACGCGCTGTTTTAATTGAGAAAATATTTTATAAAATAATTGAATGATGATATGCCGCAATAACGATTAATGATGAGCGATTTGACGTCAATTAACAAACCAAGCTTAAAAATTGATTTTCGAAACACTTGAAAATGTTATGACTACTTACGCGCGAGACAGACTGATACGACGTTGCTTTTTGTGCAAGTAAGCACGTAACCGACGGAGAAGGCCTTTAAAATAATAATAATAATAATAAAAATAATATCGTCAACAACAATAATGGCCTCAACTACGACGATAATAAAAAACAACGACGACGACGACGACGACGACGACGACGACAACAAGAACAACAACAACAACAACAACAACAACAACAACAACAACAATAATAACAACAATAATGGTAGAAACGACAAGCCCTGATATCCTTACATGATCAATTACTTTCTTTTGCAGTTTTAAAGTTATAGAAATAGTTATGCGTTCACGTTGTCATCGTCAGGGTGCGCGTGAGGTCAATTGGATATCGCCGTAGCTAACTCGGCTCTAACCGAGAGAGCATCTAATCCACCTGTTTTGGCGTCACGACGACGTAACACGGCGGGTCTTACCATTCAAGGACAGAGTCGCGCCGATGTCTAATCATTGCGTGTCCCCTGTCACATAATCTTAGGCCGATACGTCGGGACTCCGGACAGCGGATAATACGAATGCACGCGGCTTTTCTCTCGCCTGCCGGCGACACTTGGCACAACGTCGGAGACCATCTTGCTTATCCCTTCTATCCCCTCGCCTCGCCCCCCCCCCCTACCACCTCCTCGTTTTACCATTTTGACGTTTTACTCGCTCAATTACGGTGGCGCATAGCCGCACGAGTTAACGATCGACTCTCTGTCATTTAACGAGATAATGAGCTACGGACAACCGGGGCGTTCTCTCGACGAAAGTGAATGCCTCTATACATCTAAAGATTATAATAGAGCTCATTAAATTTAAAGACGGCTCGATTGGCAAATTGCAAATCCATTGATTTCATCAAGCTGACGTAAATAATAGGCTTGCTCTCAAGTGTATGAATTTGCGAAGCATTCGAACGCGAGATCAGAGAGTCGAGAACACAAGACGAAGATCGCGAACGAAACGCCAACATCTCGGACCGTTGTACTAAAGCCGTGAAAGTAAGATAACCACAGCGTGTCTACTCGGTTTTTGCTGACCATCGAGCCTCCCACTCATTTCACACTCAGTGGGAAAATTTGTACGAGGCTCCGTCCTCGATCGTAGTATCGTAGTAGAGGTCACGTGGAGGTCCTGCTCGATGGAGTTCGCGAGCGACGATCACTACTTCCGCGCCGTTCTTTTCGAGAGTATCGGGGATATAGCCCCCGTAGCCCTGCCTCGGTGCCCCGACTTCGTAGCGATCTTCTTCTTCGGCTTCCTCGTCGGCTGCCAATCCTGCTACCGTTTAGTGATCGAACTCGAACGTCGCGCCCTTAAAGCAGCGCCGAACGGAGCTCGTGCGCATTCCTTAGCGCTCGGGCTTTTGTGCTTAATAAAGCTTGCGGTTTTCGGCCGGCCTGCTTGAATGTCAGTTGTGGGCCAATGCGACGACGCGCAACGCCGACCGTTACGATTATTAAACTCATAACGAAAAGTGAAGCGATCGAATCAATATACTTGGTGCACGTCATTTTGTGAAAAGCGACGACTGACGTTAACTTTTGATTGAAGCAGGACGTCAACGGACTGAATTTCACCAAAGATAGAGCCGAGGATAGCGAGGCGAACATGAGCGTCCGAATCGAGAATTCGCAGTCGCCCCTGAACATTCTCTCGAAGAAGCTGCAATTGCGTAAGGAGGAGGGCGCCGACGTCGTGGATTCGAGCGAGCAGCAGGCGCAGGGATTGGAGGGTCTCTGCCTCATCTGCACCGTGAGGCCGAAGAACGGCGCCTTCGTTCACGGCAAGATAACTCACATATGCTGCTGCTATCCCTGCGCCATGAAGGTCTGGATGACCAATGGTAATCGCTGCCCTATTTGCAATCGAAAAGTCACTCAATTATTAAAGGCCTTTTACGCTTGAGGTGGCCAAGATATTTTTATTAAACGATTGGCACAAACATTATATGTCCACCAGGGATGCAAATATTACTAGCTTATTAGTAATAACTTTTATAGTTACGAGAAATTAATAATATCGAGTTTAATTGTCAATTAATTACAATTCTAAGATTAGCATCTTATTAGCTGTAATTGGAATAATTTATTGAACAAGCTTTAAAGAAACTTTATTATTTTTTTTCTTTTTTTCTTTCTTTTCTTTTCATTTCGTTATCTCTCTTTTTTTTCTAATACTTGGTGTGTACAATTATGAATGCACAAAAAATTTGCTAAATAGGTATTGGCAAATTCGTACATTTGGCTACTGTACATACGGTTAGATTTAATTGTTCATTCTTTCTCTAATTCGATTAAATGATCATCGATATAAATTCTTGTAATAAAAACAATGATACATCGCATAGAGCCTGTAAAATATTAATAACGTGCCATATATATCATATTCGTTTATTATACGCATCTGCCATTAAATCAGGAATATAAAGCCTAGATAACATCGATATAATAAATTCAATGTCGATAAAGATAGTGGGTAAAAGAAAATTTACTAAAAAATCTAAATTTCGTTTGATTCGCATATTTAAATCATCGGCTAACGCCTAATAACGGCTAACGAAAAAATCTTATAAAATAATTACTCTAATCAATTATTTTACAATGAATCGTAAAAATTACACTAAAAAAACACTATAGTAAGAAAAAAACTTCAAACGAAACACAACGATACATTAATATTATAACACAATTTGCTATATCTGTATAATTAATAATATTTTCACATATATCTGCGCAGACTTCACAATAAACATGTAATTAATTGCAGTCTTAACTAATAATAATTTTATTGGAGAGCGAAGCAATTGTAACACTTAATCAGCATTTCAAGAATTAAAGCACAAAATCAAAACGTTCAAAATTATTTCTCTATCAAATGTACAGGTTCATTTATGTGTGTGTGTGTGTATCGTCTTACCTCTCTCTCTCTCTCTCTCTCTCTCTCTCTCTCTCTCCTCTCACATTTTGTTGTTGTTGTTTTTTTCTTTCTTTTTTGTCTTGTTGGTAAATCGAATAAGATTTTGTCGAAGCATCACTCATATTAATGATGAAACGAGAGTACTGTTTAATTATTATTCATTTGTGCTCACATACCAGTATTTATTCCATGCTGAATACTTTGTAAAAGAAGAAGAAAAAAAAACGTCATAAAATAGTCTATAACCAATTTTTTACTTTACATTTGATTTAACTTAATTAACATATTGTTAAGGAAATTAATTTTTATATTTATAATATAAGTAAACCGATAATTAAACTCATAATAGTGCAATATTAAAATCTAATCTGTAAAATGTACTATTTTTTATTTTATTTTATCATTTTATCACATATTAAATTATTGTTTTTTATTTAAATTAAAAATATTGGTTCTAGACAATTTTCATTAAACGCATTAAAAGCATTAATTGTGCTTCGATATTAAAACATTTTTGCTGCCTATAAAGCAGCTCATGGGCAAAATATACTGTATATATAGTATAAAAATTTCGCCGTTTCGATCAATAATAATCGTATTACGTATTAAGTGAAGGATTACTAATATATAAATGAATATATATATGTATATATAATTCGCTTAGCGTTCTTCGATGTCGCTTACGCTTGGGAAAATAGTGGGCAGGTAGGTGATATATCTTATCACAATATCTGGATTAAAATATTTTAATTAATAAGGTTCACGTAATGTCTTTTCTTAGGTTAATTAGCAATTTTCATTTATTTTTTATTTAAAATGTAAAACACAAGTATATTTCTTGCGAATCTTATTTTACAGTGTCCCATTATTTACATTCTATTATATATTTGTGTAAGTTTGTTTTCTATCTTAGACTAGATAATACCGCAAATACACAAAAATCTTTCTTTCTATTGTATGCAAAGCAAAAAATGTATTTTTCTTTTAAATGATTTGTAATGAAAATATGATAGATAATTTCAAAGTTCAGTACTTGGTTAAATAAAATGTTTAAATTTTTCGGTATTTCCTCCATATTTTATAATTTATATAAATTTTACAATTTTAATTACTCAAATTCTTAAAATTCTTAATTCGTAGATGAGGAAAAATGTTATTATCTAATTGATTTATGAATACCGTATAATTTTTCTTTAGCATTTACACGTGTTTACACTGTGAAAAACAAGACTCAATAGGAATATTACTTTCGTACCATTCAAAAAATTATTTAAATGTTCTGTATAAAGACATTACATTAAGGCAAAAAATTTCAAAGTTGCATTAAAAAAAGAAAATACCTCTCCATACACTAGCTGTATCACGTATCTATCTTATAATTTGAAAGATCATTCTTGAAACTATAGATGACCAATAAACGTTAATTTAATGTAATAATTACAAAAAAAAAAAAAAAAAAAAAAAAAAAAAAAAAACTATAGTTTAAAAAAAGACACTTTAGAAAGATTATAATGGTTAAATATAATATTATAATGGTTTTTTCAGACTTGTGTGATACTTGACAAAAAATGGTAAAGGCATATCCAGCGTTAAAAAAAATACTGAAAATGGAAGTCTGAGTTATAAGCGTTTTCTGTGTTGTTATGACTCGCTGGCTTAATTTTAAGTAAGATTTTATGAAAATAATTTGACTAATTTAACTTAATTTTTTTGGATGTATAAAATGTATTTAATTTAAATCGGAATCTTTCGCAAATGTTGGGAAAAAACAAATATTTAAATTTTTCCTTTCAAAATGATATACATTGTATAAAGATTAAATTATATTAAATTAAATTATATATATTGTATAGATGAAAAAGAAAAAAAAACGAAATCACACACGTACACACATTTACACGCGCGCGCGCGCACGTAAATACACACACACACACACACACACACACAAAAAACACACGATGAAGAATTTATTAAATATTCTGTCATTCTGATATAAAGTATTATTTAATTTTTAAAAAATGATATCGCTTTTCTAAAACTCATACTTTTGCTACACTTATTCATCTTTTGACAAAAATATTACAAGAACATTAAAAAAAATTTATATAATGTTAATAATTAAAAGTTTAAAAAATATCAATGCTTCAGTACATACTAACCTCATTTAAATTGACTAAAGTTAAATATTCGATATAATTTTGTTCTCGACGTCGAACAACAGTGAGTCAATTCACAATAGAAATTTCAATAACCCGTTCTACTCATTAAAAAAGCTAATTTATTATTACTTCATTGTTCTCCAAAGTTCTGCACAATTTAAAAATAAAAAATCAATAATCGAGTATTATAAAAATTTGAAATCATAATTAGGACGACAATGATATAGTGTTAATAAATAATTTTCAAAAAACTTCGCTAATAGCGCAAAAGTATATTTATATATCAGCCTATATCAAAGTTTTTCTCTATATCGATTCAAATTATCCTCGATAAACTAATGAAGGCAAATTGATGATTGTTTTATTTAACTGAAAATTTTTTTATAAAGGTATGAATGAAACACAATGAAATAATAACTAACAACAAATACCTTTGAATTTTCCCTTAAATTCCGATAAATTAAAGAATCGATTTTCAAGAAAAATATATTTTTAGGTATTAGAACGAAATTTTTGTTATTGAATAAGCCATATACTAGTAGCCGTTCCTTTACAAGTTAATATTTCAAAAAAAAAAAATTCTCTGACATAACAAATTTGTAGAGGATACATAACAATAATAATAATAACAAAAATTAATACTTTAATTATCCACATGAATATAAATCAATTTTAACGTTCTAACTAATCTTCTAATATTAAAGATCTTTCATAATTTCTTAATTAATGCGATTTATGAAATTTAATTAATATAATCTATTAGTTTTGTATCACATTGATGCCTTAATATATATTATCAGTTCACGTGTAATTATTTCAAATTCATTATCGAATCATTCATTACATCTTCTTATTTTCTCTCCTTCTTTTTGTAAATATAAGCCGTTAAAAGTTGTTTAGATAAAATGAAGGTTACGTAAATTTGTATTATTAAATAGTTCGCACACATATGTAATTTAGATGTAGTTAGTCAAACAAATTAAATTTTATAATTATCTTTAATTCCTTTGTTAACTGATGTAAACAAAGATACAAATATGTAAATAAATATTTTTTTAAAAGTGTATATTTTTTTTTCATTGTTGCGATGAATTATGCCGAGTCGATGTTATCTATCAATATATTTAACGTAAAACGACAGGTAAAATTTGTAATGATTAAACCGTTAAAATCTGTTTGTTCTCTGTATAAATATTTTTTCACCGGTGTATTTATAATTTTACAATATAATATGCAATATTTGCTTGTGATTTAAACTTTCAAGAATATATTTCCGGCAACACTTGTTATTACATTGTAATTTTTGTAAATCAATGCTAAAATCGTTAATTAAATACGGTAATTGAAAACATTGCCATGACTAAATATTTTTACCTCCTTGGATTGTTATTATGTGCCTACTACTTATCTCGTAAAGGAACTTCAATTTAACAGGACACTTAACGTAATGGATAAGATAAGACAGTTTGACGAAATTAAAAGCCGAACAACATAATAAAGACATTATTTTACACGAACATGAATTTCAGAACAAATAAGTCTTTTTGTCTATCGAAGTAAGTTAGAACTGCACGATGATTATTCTTAGCGGCTATGTAAATGGAGACCTTTCGCCCTTTGATAATCCATTCGCAAAAGAAAGATAATAAACGCGCACATGCATCCGCCCGTCACTCCCCCGCAGTCTTGTCGTGCGCGACCCCCACACATCGAGGAGGCAGGGAACGGACGTGTGGTGTGACCGGATGAAGCGAAGCCCTAAGGTCGATCCCCGAGCCCCGCTCAATAGCTTTTACAAAACCCACGCTGGATAAACATCTTGGATACTACGGAAAGTTTCCTCGAGACCCAGCGCCCTCACCGTCTCCCATTACAATTGCATCTGTTTTATTTTTCAGGTGTGATATAGACATGCATGATTAGAAAGAAAAAAGCAAGAGTAAGCTTGCGTCGAGGAGCGACGATAGTCTAGGAAGTCACCGATGATGGCCCATTAAGATGACAAATTAGAGCGACGTGGGACGACTTTACCGATGGACTAGCTATATTATGTCGATGACGACTAGTCATATTTATAAATGTTTTATAGCAAATTTTCATTCGTACAATATTTCTCAAGAATGGTAAGTTAAGTATCCGTCTAAATCAAAAGGAATGATGTGTCGGAGGGTTGGGGGGTGGGGGGGGGGCTTGACTTTGTATATTTAATAATAATATTACTACAGATTGGATTTAACTTTTCATGTAAATCAAACTCGGGGAGAGGTGCTATAAATTATTGATAATTTTATAGTTTAGCGGGGTTAATTATACATACAGTTCATTAATTATCGTGAAATCGACGTTTTTACAATTGCCAATTGAAAATAATAATATTGCACCCGTATTACCGAAAAGTTATATGTACCCTAATTTCACCGTTTAGATATACTTAATTAAAAAAAAAAATATATATATATATATATATATATATATATATATATAGATAGATAGATAGATAGATAGATAGATAGATAGATATTCTTGTCTTTCGTCAATTTTTGAAAGTTACAAATTTTTTATTTTATTATAAATTTCATTTATCCCTAAATGAAGCAATAATTAAGAGTTTAACGGTCAAGATAATTTTACGAAGTAATTTTTAAATTTTCTATAATTTCAACTAGGTATATGATTGTAAAGTGCAAACTTCCAAATTGCATTCGATAGCGTTTATGAGAGAAAAAATTTTTTTTTTTTAACAAATATTGTCACTCGTTGCTTCTATTTCTGAAAAAAAAAATGATATTTAGAAATTACAATCATATACGCTTTCACTATAGTTTGGCTATATTGTTTTATTGTAAATACTGTCTTTATTACAGATCGTTAATTAGAACTATTGTCAAATACATTTAATGGAAGGACGAAATGCTAGAGAAAATGGTAGTGCGCAAAGAAAGAAAGACCGAACAAAAAAGAAAAAGATATTG